TATAATATGTCAAGGAAGAAAGTGATTATAAGGAGGCATTGCTTGATTTTCAAAGTGGACATAATGCAATAGGCATTCAAATAACATAGGCCACGTTTAAGTGCTGTACTTAAACTGAATATTCTTTGTATTGAATGATCTGCTTTAGACGACCTGGTACATCTGCCCTTACACTGCCCCATATATAATGATATTCGCTCCACGTGTTTTTCTCTATTGTGATTAATTGTCCTGACAAAAGATCCATTTGTTTATCAAATGATCTGAAAACAATATTTATGCTTGCAAAGTTTGTGTATTAAATGCAGTTTATCAAAGCCACGTGATCTGTCTCCTGTAGAAGACCAGCAGGGATATAGATTATATCTAACAACGTCTTTCACGACACTGCTTGATAAGATATTTAGACAGGAAACAGCGAAAAAGTTTCAAGTATTCCCATCTACGCCCAGACATACATCAGAACCAAAACAAGTAAAGCAATTTGTATTTTTCTTACCATGGTATTTAGAATATTTATTGTTCCGCATCTCGACAGTTTTACTGGTCTTCTGATAGACAATGATAAATAGACCACGCGGAATGTGGCATCCAGCTCCATCCATATTGAATGAGTTTAAAACTGTTGATTCTACGGATAGTGCTGCACATAACAGAAATACCCTCAACCGTCAATTTGCAAAAGCTGAAAGTGAAAAACATAAGTTTAGATTGAAGCCTTTTTGTTTGTGATTTTTTTAAACATACAACGCAGGTATTGTGAGCAAATGTTTTTTTCTGTAGAGAACTATTTACACTGGCTAAAAATATATTCAAGAATATCCATACATTTTGAAAACAGTGGTTACTAGTTACATTGTTTATGTGTTTGATGTTTTTTTTCAATGTGGGCACGGATGTTTAGGTACGTGTATCGCAGTGATCTTAGCTGTGGGTACCTCAGTGTTTTCAGGTACCGCTAGCTCAGTGTACTAAGAGGTAGCTAGATCACTGGTCTATGTGATCTTAGCTGTGGGAACCTCAGTGTTTTCAGGTACCGCTAGCTCAGTGTACGAAGAGGTAGTTAGATCACTGGTGTATGTGATCTTAGCTGTGGGAACCTCCGTGTTTTCAGGTACCGCTAGCTCAGTGTACGAAGAGGTAGTTAGATCACTGGTCTATGTGATCTTAAGTGCGGGGAGCTAACTGGTGAGATGGGAGGTTACGTTCATGAGAGGGACAAATCGGTTCAGAGCCACTTTGATCCTAGATCGCTAGCGGAATTGACAACATTGGATTTCGAGAGGTTCTGTATAGTGCAACATCCTAAGCAAGTTATTTGCTGTTTGGCGTTGCATTTAAGTTAAGAGTTAAAATATTAACAATGTCAAAACGTTGATACCAATGGGTTTTTTTCTAAAGTGAGAAAAAGAACCTTCCTGTTGTCAGCATCAGAAATAGATTCATCATGTGTGCCCTTATTTCCATTTTCTGTTCTGGTACATTTCAAGGATGTGTAAATCACCTGGTGTCCCATGACAGAAAAGACATTGAGTGGTATTCACCGGATATATATGACAGTTGTCACTGTTATCGCTGTGGAACTTTTTAGAATCGATGGAATTAGTTTCAGTTGGTTTATCGACCTGCTGTTAGTTCGCCGTCTATATAACTTGTGTTGTCTCCAGACATTGGTGTTCATAGTCTTGTGTACACTGTTCACCTGGTGGTAGTATCCACACATCGATGTCCATATAACTGTGTTTCACTAAGTTCCTGGTGGTAGTCTCCAGACATTGGTGTTCATAGTACTGTGTTCACTGTCTAGCTAGTGGTGGCCTCCAGACAATTGACCGTTTAACTTATCGTGAACCTTCGACCCGGTTGTAGTCGCTCAACTGCATCCTACGTGGCAGATCCTCTGTGAACACGGAAAGATGAAACCTATATATTTAAGGGACTGTGTTAAACTGCTACTGGATTTAACAGTTATTCTGATGTTTGTATTTCCCACATCAAGCATGACGGAGTGTGGACCTAAGACGACTAAAACTTTGAGGCACAGTTATGTCACTATCATTAACATTGGCATAAAGTTGTGCCAGCTTAAATGTATTGAAGACGGAGCATGTTTGAATGTTGAATACAATATTGAAACTTTAACCTGCCGTTTGTTAAGAGATGAATCAAGGAAGATCAAGAAGAAGGAAGGATACATAAGTCTTCCAAGGAATCATTCCAATGTAAGTAAAACACTTTCAGTAATCATAAAGACATTTCTGATCGATTGAGTCCTTGCCACAAATATGTATTTATGAATCGCTATCAATGAGTGATGATACCACCAAGTGTTCACGTAAAGGTGGGCGTATGCTACCCTACCGGAGCACCTGTTTGAAACACATGCAAAAGCATGCCCATTGCTCACCTGAAAACACTGGAAACTCTGGTACAAATCATAATAGGGATCTGCATCGGGCATCCTTTTGATTCTGGTGCGTCAAATTTGGAAATGTCCCCCACATGTCTACTCAGGCCTAGTATGATGTAAGCCTGATTAAACATTATTGGAGTAAGTCTTTTGGCGCCCTTTGAAATCTTTGTAGAAAAAGAACGCCCAGTTGTACTTCAAGTTGTGAAATGTAGTCAACAAAAGATGAAGCGTCTGGAGAAAATTGAAGTCATCCCTCTTATCATGCAGTTTTGTGGATAATATTTTCCTGTCACACAGATGCATAGTTTAAATATGATACAGCTATATTTCTGACTCAGGTGGTTAAATCAGTGGACGAGAATCGACCATTTGGCCATGTTTCAATTTTGCCAATCCAGCAGAAATTCAGATTCTTATGCATAAGGAAACACATCAGCACGGAGGAGAACACAATTGGTGACCCTTAGGAGGCCTACTTCTTGCCTAAATACCCTATCCCAAAATAAGTTATGTGTACGGCCATTAACAAACCTGCAGCAAATTGTGAAAGATATGTTTATAGGACAGAAAATGCATAATAAACAATTGAATGCCCACATTGAATACAAATAAACTTACTCCACAAGTTATGTTTACAATATCCATTGAACAAGAAAATAAAAACAATTAAACATAAATTATACATAAGTTTAAATGTCTTGAAAATTTCATAAACATGCATGATTCAACAACAGACCAAAGAGATATTCTCGTATATTGATTATCCCTCCTGTTTAAAGGTCCCGGCTGGTTCCTGTGCATCCAAGACTTGCAATGTCGGGCTGAGATGTTTGGAGACTCGATCTGGAAAATCTGTCTGTGTACAAGGTAATGTCTTGTCCTTTTCACACCACAGTAAACTACGGCTATAGCGAACTCAAAGGGACCAGTAATTTTAGTTTGTTATAACCATAGTTCATTATACGCATATATGCAACGTATATATAGCAAAAGGCTGTGACCAAAAAGACCCATTTGTTGTATCCGTCAGTTCGTTTTAAGCGTGTTCGCTATGAACGTAGTTTACTGTACTACTGTGTACTCTCAACATCTTCAATCTACGTACGTTATTGAAAAGGTATTCTTGGTCACCATTGATGTTGACCTTGCGTCTGAGACTTTACTTACTTTCATGTGCTGCACATTGACCTTATATCTGTGACAAGCACTAACTATAATGACCTGTGTTATGTGATCGAGGGGTAAAGAGGTCTTATCGTGGCGTAGTATGTTAGTGGTTAGTGGGAAGATATATGATTATTCCAGTCAGCATTATCATTAATCAATCTTGACCATTGCAGATGATCAAATTATTAACGTCAGTTATAATAGTGTCATTCGTCTGACCTTGAAATGGATGTAACATTGCCGTCTTTAAAGTGAATCATGTTCACTCACCTGTTCAATATCTAGAGAATGAGTAGGTTTGTTTTCATCCTAAGAAAGCCTTAACCGACAGTGTTAAGGTGGAAATATTATCTGTTTGAATTTGACACAGCTCAAAATCTTATGTAAGAAAAAACACTCAACCTTCATATTCTTGAAAAAGAAATCTCATCTAAGTCTTAATATGAAAAAATATGATACCCTCTAGTTTCAGGAAAAGCTTTTTGATATTGATACAAGTAACGGTATATAAAGTTGCAATTATCCGATAGTTGAGTCAGCACGTCTAGCCATGACACGCAGGAAGCTGTCGGAGGCGCTCCATTGGCAAATTATTGGCATGCATGACACAGGCAAAGCAGAGCTGTTGGGCGTTAAACTTGGCTATGACTATAATGTCATCAACAGACGCGTAAGAAAACACCACAGACACATAAGGTAAAGGAACGTCCACGACCAGGGCCACGCCGAAAGACAGCTGTATTGGAAGACAGGGCTTTCGCAGGTATTGCGAGGTGACAACCTTTTGCTACGAGTAAAGCTCTGAAGAAATAACGGTTTCATAATAGGCATCTGTCCACCAGAACTGTCTGAAACAGGCTAAACTCATTTAGGTTGAAATCATTAAGGGTCATCAGACGTCCCTTATTAACTGCTCATTATAAGAATCTTCGACTGGCTAGGTGTATGGCTCGGCTTCATTGGAATCTGAGGACTTGGCGAAGGATCCACTGGTCTGATGAAAGCAGATTCTTGCCGCACATCACAGATGGGCGAATGCGGGTTGGGAGACACACTAAAAAACAGTGTACCAACTGTCCGGGATAGTGGAGGCTCCGTATTGGTGTGGGGACCAATATATCATAACTGTAAACTGGACATAGTAATAGTACGAGGCAATTTCAACAGCGATCGTTACAAACACCACATCCCCAATCCTGTTGTTGTGACACATTGTAACAACCAGGCACTGGCACTCAACCAGTGTTTATGGACGTCAATGCTCAACCTACGCCTTGAAGGCAACAATTTGACGTTCGTCCTCCTCGTTGGTGGTAGCCATGAATTCTTTCTCTTTGAAAAAGCTGGAATCTGCTCTCATCTGTGAACACGACTCTTTGCACTGTTTGTTCTGCCAGTGTCACAGTGTTTAAGCCGAACCATGTCTTTGACGTCAGAGTTCCGGGGCAAGCCTTGTAAGCTATGATATTGTACAGGCGCAATCTTCTGGACATTGTCCAATGATTGACAAGATGCCCAATGTCAGTCGCCTTTGATGATGTCAACATGAGATGCAAAACACTACACGCAAATTCGTTTTGGTGGCACATTATTTACAGGTTATAGTATAGATGGGTAACGAAACATTGCATGAAGAGTTGGCATTTAAATATCCGTGTACGTTTTGTCAAAGTTTCTAAAATTTAACATTACCTTGTCTGCAAAAAAGAAATTTGATGATAAAAAACCAAGCAGATGACAAAAAAAAACGATCGCCCAAACGCAACGGCCATGGTAAGCCGATGCACGTGAGTTTCTTGCCCTGTCTTGCGATTTAAATCCCAATGAGCACCTGTGGGACGAGATACAAAGACGGCTGAATGACGTCCGACCAAGGCTGATAACTGCAACTTAACTGTGTCAGACATTTCTCAGAGTGTTTGCTCAAGTGCCTATTGCCTTCATCAACCGCCTCAACAATTCCATGTATCAACGTTGCACGGCAGTCATCAATGCACATGGCGGACATACGAGATTCTGACTTGTGATGCCGTTTTCTCAGAGACTGGTGTTCTGTTTCACTTTAAGAACATTTGACACTTTAAATTCAACCTTGATGATCAGTTTCAGCCAAGTTTCATCTTTTTAATAGGTCTCAAAATATGTTTACAGTGTTTGGACAAATAAGGTTTGTCATATATCTGTCCATGTTGACGTTTCTTTGGCGGTTCAGTATATTATCATCAAACAGTTTTTATTCTAGATATATATTTATTGCAATGAATTTTGCAAACAAATTGATGTCATTGAACCATTGTGATATATTTATGTGCAGATGGGATGCAGAACTACCGTGAGAAATCACCAAAACACAACATTGGCAAGCAGGACACTTTAGAGAACAACCCACTTCACGATGCATGTAGAAAGGGGGACCTGGGCCGAGTGAAACGCATCCTGTCCCGGGGTGTGGTAGACGTCAACAGTAGAGACAAGAAGCTAGGGAGGACACCACTCATGATGGCCGCACAGAAGGGACACAGAAGAATATTTGACCTTCTGATGAGAAAAGGAGCGAATGTAACACTGGTGAATGCTTACGGCAACAACATCCTGCATTGGGCTTGCTTAGGGGGACATATCGCCATGGTGAGATATGTACTGTCACAATACAGTGTTGATGTTAACAGCAGAACAAAGGCTGGATCAACTCCCCTCATGAAGGCTGCATATTGTGGACACAGAGACGTGTCTGACTATCTAGTGTGTATGGGAGCTAATATATCTCTGGTGGATGAGGATGGCGACAGCATTCTTCACTGGGCCTGCAGAGGGGGGCATGCGAAGATGGTACAGCATATCCTGGCACAGGGCCTAGTGAACATTACCAGTAGAGGAATATACGGAAGGACACCATTAATGATAGCAGCGAATTATGGACATAGAGAAGTGTTTGATATACTTCTGAATGAAGGTGCTCAAATTTCCTCAGTGGACAGTAATGGTGACAACATCCTACATCTGGCTTCTTTTGGTGGAAATGTGGAGATGGTGAAGCATATCCTCTCTCAAAACCTGGCAGACATAAATGCCAGGGACAAGGATGGGGATACAGCGGCCATGATGGCACACCGTAAAAGACACCGTGCCGTATATGACCTTCTTGTGTCGATTGGCTGTCCAGTGCAATAAGTGTTACTGTGAACGTTACTGTCATCAATGTCGTGAGATAACGGAAGTGACTCACCTGTTCTATCATTTTGTTTGTGGTTCTTATACGTATATTGTATTCATTTTATGTAACCAGGGTGTAACATAATGTGTTAATGATGGTTGGGTTTTGTCACACATCATGACATTTAATTGTTACCAGTTTGTATGGAGTAGAATTTGAAATTATAGTGTTATGGCCAGCAGGCAACGGACTGACGGATATCATCAGTGTTTTTACCTTCTTGTACGGTGAGGCTCTCATAGGATATCAAATACTGTCACCGCGTTATTGTACACGTCTTTAATGTTCAATAAAATATTATAAAATGCGTTGCAGGTTAATGTGTCTCTTCATGGTGAGTGACTTTCTCCGCTGTAGAATACGTCTGTGTGTGATTGAGTTGGGTTTTATACCGATTTGAAAACTATTTCAGTCATATCACAGTATGTCAGCTTCGTGTCAGTGGAATGTTTTACTTGATTTTGGCGAAGCTTGGAATCGAACCCATGATCCTTAAAAAACTCTACTCTTGGGGAGGCTTGAATGGCTGGATCACTGTGGACCCTTGTCCCTTTAAACAAAGCCATTGATGTCCGGACTGACTAAACGACCACTTGGCAATGACGGAAACGATTTGTTTCTATAAGTTAATTTGATGGTAGTGTATCTTGAAAAAAAACATGTCACCATCTCAATCCGATCTGACTTGCATCTAATCTACTTGTCAAGTGCTGATGTGAAACCTACCCGAAAACAACGAATTCCTGCCAGTGTCCATCGATATTCTGAACACATTCATGAATGCACACATATATTTTAGGGGCAAAACAGGCATAATTTCTCTCAGAATGATAAGAATTCTTTTAATGCGACTAGAAATGTCAGATTGGTCCCTACTTTTCAGCTACAAGTACAAGAAGTTGAAAATGCTTTCTTGAATATTGAAAAAGTGGCCTAGTGAGCATTAGGTAATGTTATTGCAAAGTCTATAGAAATGCAAAGCTCAAAAAGTCTCTTCAGCACTGTCACTGGAGGTCAACCTATAATTGTGGGTTCGAATCCCGGTTCGCCCCAATTATGTTTCTAGGTTTGTCAGCACCATACCCGTGCTCCTGGGTGAACTGGGTTTCACCAAGTGGTTAACGTCTGAGACCTGCATCACTTATGGCTTTGCTCCCACATTAAGCTGACATTCCTCGATGTAAATGGAATACTGTTAAAGAGGGATTAAACCCAACTCACTCACTCACTCACTCACTCAAAAAATGATTTCACCAACCACAAAGGATATTCAGAGCTTTATTTGGGTATATGAAACTGTTCATATAACAACAGTATGTTCACTGAATTATGAGCATATTCAATAAGTACAGTATTATTCATCACAGACAATTCATTTACATTTCATCATTTCATGAAGGGGCATGTGTCCTATAGAAACATAATTCATTGTGTACACAGAAGCCTACAGGTCCTGCTAAACCTAGTTGGTGAGGAACAGTGTCCCGGTGTACAATTATGTTTAATGTTGTACATTTATAAGGCTGCAATATATAAGGCTGAACAAATATTCCTTGAAGAAAACCCTTCAAAATAACACGTTTGTTTAAAATATTAAATAATTTAATTAAAATGTGCTGCTTGTTTGAGCGTCAAAGAGGTCATAACCTTCCATATCCATTTTCGTGTGGTTATTTGTTTTTAGCTGAAATCTGTTTGCCACACTATATGTAAAAGGTTAAATTTATTTTCCATGTCTGTTTGTTCGTTTGTTGATTGATTTCTTTTAAACTATCTTCAGAATTTAATCATTATTGAAAACAATATGTCACATAGGTAAAGGGGGCACGGGTGGCCCAGTCGTCTAAGGCTCCACAATTCGCTGTGCATAGTTGTGTCCCTTGGGCACACCAGGAACCTGTGATTGTGGATTTGAATCCTGGTTCGCCCCGATTATGTTTCTAGGTTTGTCAGCATCATACCCATGCTCATGTGTTTTACCGAGGTGGTAAATGTTCCTCCCACATTAAGCTGACATGCTGCAATATCACTGGAATGCTGTTAAAAGCGGCGTTAAACCCAACTCACTCACTCACATAAATATTGTGCTGCTTGAAATGTGAAACAGATACGTCCCTTCACACATTGATTTCTTTGTTTTTTCATAACTGATACTTGCTTATCACACCCAATGAAGACCGGGCGCGCATACCCATGTTTGAAGCATACTAATCATGGTGACATATAAAAAACATATCCTAATCGTTTCAAAATAATAATTATTTTGACTATTTTGGGGGAGGACAAAAGTAAAACTATTCCCGAATTATGTGTGAAGTCAGCAGTATTCAGCTATATCACGCACCCAGTAGTTAATTGTGTCTAAACCAGACAAACCAGCCATTGACCAACTGATCCATTTCATTGGCTCCAACAAGCGTGACAGGTTCGACCTGGGAACCAGTACCAACTTGCAGGTGCATGCTGGTAATCACGACAATTGCAACACATCCATAAGGTACTCGTTATATCTACTTGTTTTTCATCAGTAAAAAATTGGGCTTCCAAGACCAATCAAACGTCTTCAATAATCCAAGGACAGTATCATGATTTACCCGTTTGGGTAGATCCCTATTGGTCCCTATGTCTGTCCTAAAGCTGACTGATGGGGATAACATGGATACCATGTGTGTGTCAAAATACACCAATGGCATGGGTCATTGCTAGTGCTGTCAATTTCTGGTTTGCCTGTTTCAAAGTGATTTAGTCAGTTTGGTGAGGCATAAAACAACATACACTCCCCTACTCTCTTCAATTGCTGAAGGGGGGAAAACTATACAGTAAAGGCAATGTTTTCAGCAGTTCAATATAAAAGGGATAGACAGATACCTTATCAGGATAGAACTGATGGTCCGACAACCCTCTAAAATAAACCTGAAGGTTGGGCCGATGTTGGGGAAACCACCCTATGTTCAGACAAGTGTTCTGGATAAAAGTCATGTCAGATAACTGTTCAGGGTAAAACTAATGTAAATCAAACAGTATAAATAAGTATTGATTCTCCTCTGCATCATGTTGCATCATTCAAATGTCTAGCTCCTGGAAGCATTACTCAGTGACTGTGATGATGGTGGTTGATGGTGGTTAATGGACCTGTTGGTCTGCAAGGGAAGATAGGGTCAGACTACTTCACAGGACACCAGGAGAGACTGCAGTGATGATGGTGGTTGATGGTGGTTGATGGTGGTTGATGGACCTATTGGTCTGCAAGGGAAGCTAGGGTCAGACTACTTCACAGGACACCAGGAGAGACTGCAGTGATGATGGTGGTTGATGGTGGTTGATGGTGGTTGATGGACCTATTGGTCTGCAAGGGAAGCTAGGGTCAGACTACTTCACAGGACACCAGGAGAGACTGCAGTGATGATGGTGGTTGATGGTGGTCGATGGACCTATTGGTCTGCAAGGGAAGCTAGGGTCAGACTACTTCACAGGACACCAGGAGAGACTGCGGTGATGATGGTGGTTGATGGTGGTCGATGGACCTATTGGTCTGCAAGGGAAGCTAGGGTCAGACTACTTCACAGGACACCAGGAGAGACTGCGGTGATGATGGTGGTTGATGGTGGTCGATGGACCTATTGGTCTGCAAGGGAAGCTAGGGTCAGACTACTTCACAGGACACCAGGAGAGACTGCAGTGATGATGGTGGTTGATGGTGGTCGATGGACCTATTGGTCTGCAAGGGAAGCTAGGGTCAGACTACTTCACAGGACACCAGGAGAGACTGCAGTGATGATGGTGGTTGATGGTGGTTGATGGACCTATTGGTCTGCTAGGGAAGCTAGGGTCAGACTACTTCACAGGACACCAGGAGAGACTGCAGTGATGATGGTGGTTGATGGTGGTTGATGGACGTACTGGTCTGCTAGGGGAGCTAGGGTCAGACTACCGGTACTTCACAGGAACTAGGAGAGACTGCAGTGATGATGGTGGTTGATGGTGGTTGATGGACCTATTGGTCTGCTGGGGAAGCTAGGGTCAGACTACTTCACAGGACACCAGGAGAGACTGCAGCGCCTTGGCATACGCTGAAACAGACAAAATGACTTCACGTTGTGGGTATGTGAATATAAAAATATATATCAGGAATATAAATTTCTCCACATATATTTTCCTTAAGTATCAATACATCTGACCCATTACACAGTTCAGCCAGGATTACATGTTGTAGAACCACAATGATTCTGCTAAATTTCATCTTTCATTGCCTACAGTGTACTTTGCAGTGTGCCTACACTGTAGCTCTGGTTGTCCTAGTGTACATGAACATGGCAGCCTTGATGGTTCTATACATTTCTGGATGGGACAGTTTCTAAAAGACTGTACCTATATAAGAGTGACAAGATCTGCTTTACTTCTAATTGACTTGCCAAGAGCAGTTTCAATATCCATTTGGAAACACTGTATTCCTGACAACTTCCAACACTATTCTGGCTTCAAGAACTGAGACAGGGATCTTCCATCTTATTTAACAGTGACAATATTCCGAACATTCATGAGTACACTAACATTCATTCAAGTGCCTGTTACTTATTGCTGCAGGTAAAATTCAGGCAGGACGTGTGACATTTTCTTGTGGACATCCACTTTTACAATCAGGCAGCACACTAGCAGATCATTTGTACAGACGAGTGAAAATAAAAATTAACTTTGAACCCTGTTCTGACACTTGACAAACAAGGGGTGATATTTCTAGTGTCATGAGCATGGACTGACCTTTAGGGTTCTTATAGAAGAAACAGTTGTTGGCACAGGTGTCGGGGTTGGTGTCCCACAGCGAGTCACCACAGCAACACAAGGGCGGTAACTGTACCCCTCTTTTCACTATCTTCTCACGCAGGTTGTGACGCAATGCCTCTACATATCTGAAACATGAACGCAGAATAAAACACCTGCTAACACAATCACATAAGCCATTATGAATTGTTTCTGAACTATCTAATTTGACATGTTTGATAACACGTGAGTTTTGTCAATACGATCGAGGAGTGGCAGTATAAAGAAATATTTTCATATTTCAAAAAATAGAATAAACAGGGCACATGTGGTATTTCAACCAATAATCAAATAGGAAAGGGAAAGAGCCTCATTTCAAAATATGAATTTTTATCTTCATTTATGAAATTTTGCAAATGCTCAGTGACCTAAGCCCCGTTCCACAAAGTGATCTTAGTGCTATGATGGTCATTAGTCTATTTTAAAGTATAGGAGTTGCGATCGCCTTATGGCTATGATTGTCAAAAGTCTATGTTAAAATATGGGAGTTACGATCACCTTATCGCTATGATTGTCATAAGACTATGTTAAAGTATGGGAGTTACGATCACCTTATCGCTATAATTGTCCTAAGTCTATGTTAAAGTATGGGAGTTACGATCGCCTTATCTATAATTGGCATAAGTCAGTGTTAAAATATGGGAGTTATGATCGCCTTATCGCAATGATTGTCATAAGACTATGTTAAAGTATGGAAGTTACGATCACCTTATCGCTATAATTGTCCTAAGTCCATGTTAAAATATGGGAGTTATGATCGCCTTATCAAGATTTTTGTCATAAGTCTATGTTAAAATATGGGAGTTATGATCACCTTATCGCAATGATTGTCATAAGACTATGTTAAAGTATTGGAGTTACGATCGCCTTATCGCTATGATTGTCATAAGTCTATGTTAAAGTATGGGAGTTATGATCGCCTTATCGCTATGATTGTTATAAGTCTATGTTAAAGTATGGGAGTTATGATCGCCTTATCGCTATAATTGTCATAAGTCTATATTAAAATATTGGGGTTATGATCGCCTTATCGCTATAATTGTCATAAGTCTATGTTAAAGTATAGGAGTTACGATCACCTTAGCGCTACAATGGTCATAATTCTACGTTAAAGTATAGGAGTTACGATCGCCTTATTGCTATGATTGTCATAAGTCTATGTTAAAGTATGGGAGTTATGATCACCTTAGTGCTATAATTGTCATAAGTCTATGTTAAAGTATAGGAGTTACGATCACCTTAGCGCTACAATGGTCATAATTCTACGTTAAAGTATAGGAGTAAAGATCGCCTTATTGCTATGATTGTCATAAGTCTATGTTAAAGTATGGGAGTTATGATCGCCTTATCGCTATGATTGTTATAAGTCTATGTAAAAGTATGGGAGTTATGATCACCTTATCGCTATGATTGTTATAAGTCTATGTAAAAGTATGGGAGTTATGATCGCCTTATCGCTATGATTGTTATAAGTCTATGTTAAAGTATGGGAGTTATGATCACCTTAGTGCTATAATTGTCATAAGTCTATGTTAAAGTATAGGAGTTACGATCACCTTAGCGCTACAATGGTCATAATTCTACGTTAAAGTATAGGAGTTACGATCGCCTTATTGCTATGATTGTCATAAGTCTATGTTAAAGTATGGGAGTTATGATCACCTTAGTGCTATAATTGTCATAAGTCTATGTTAAAGTATAGGAGTTACGATCACCTTAGCGCTACAATGGTCATAATTCTACGTTAAAGTATAGGAGTTACAATCGCCTTATTGCTATGATTGTCATAAGTCTATGTTAAAGTATGGGAGTTATGATCACCTTAGTGCTATAATTGTCATAAGTCTATGTTAAAGTATAGGAGTTACGATCACCTTAGCGCTACAATGGTCATAATTCTACGTTAAAGTATAGGAGTTACGATCGCCTTATTGCTATGATTGTCATAAGTCTATGTTAAAGTATGGGAGTTATGATCGCCTTATCGCTATGATTGTTATAAGTCTATGTAAAAGTATGGGAGTTACAATCGCCTTAGCTCTAAAGGTAGGTTTGTGGACTGGGGCTCTGGGTAACTTATGCAGCCAGTGATTCACCTCTCCATCTCCTTGTGTCGGCGTCGGGTGTGTTGATGTTGTTGCAGGGTGTCCCGGATGTGAGACTGCTCCAGCTGGTCCCGGAGGATGGCCTCATCAGATGTCTCCCCGGTCACCGGGTCTCGAGGCTGCACAAGGCGTAGTGCCTGCTCCTCCTCTTCCTGACGAGCCTCCTCCTTGTCTTGCTTCAGTCTGACAGACACAGATTGTGGACACAGGTCACACATGGGTAAGACACAGATCAGTATGACAGACACATGGGTCATGGGTCACAACTAATAACTCAGGCTCAGGATTATGACAGATCAGACAGGATCAGTGTGAGCGAGATGGATTTAACGCCTCTTTTATCAGTATTCCAGTTATATCGCGGCGTGTCAGCTTAATGTGGGAGGAAAGCCCGAAGTGATGCAGGTCTCAGACGTTTACCACTTCGGTGAAACCCACAAGCAAGGGTATGGTGCTGACAAACCTAGAAACATAATTGGGGCGAACAATCATAGGTTTCTGGCAACTCTGCACAGCGAATCGCAGCGCCTTAGACAACTAGGCCACCCATGCCCCCTCAGACAGAATCAGACAAAGGTTAGATGAATTATGATTGAACACCAGCCACACACAGACATGTACATATAGAGCACATACATAGTTAGACACAGATAGGATCCGACACAAGTTTGTTTTGAGTTCCTACAAACAACTACCCCAGTTTGTTAGTGACTCCATCTGTCCACAATCAGCTACATCATCTACATAGACAAGTACAATTACTTTTGGATCCGCTTTCGATGTTCCTGTCGTCGGAGATTCTCCTTCACCTGCTCCCGTTCCTGGTCCATGAACATTCGTCGGTAGAGTGCAGTCTGACTACGCTGTCTGCGTCGGTTCTCCTCCATCGTTACCCCCGTGTAGATGTCGGGGACAGGGATGACTGGGGCGGGGCGCTGAAGGTCTGTGCCTGTCATTGTTGGCACTGGAGGGATAAACATACATGAGTGGGTGGAGATGCTGTGGAATGTTGTGTACAGATATTCTCCTCCACCCTCCCTTGTGTCGATGTCTGGGACAGGGATAATAGGGGCGGGGCAGTGCAGGTCTGTGCCTGTCATTGTTGGCACTGGAGGGATAAACATACATGGGTCATGTGGGTGGGGATCCTTTAGAATTTTGTGCACAGATATTCTCCTCCATCCTCCCCTCGTGTAGATGTCGGGGACAGGAATGACTGGGGCGGGGCCTGAAGCAAAGTGTTGAGTCCCAAATAATTTACCATACATTGCAAGTCTTCTGGGACGCAAAAGGTAGGACAGGGTCAAGGTCACACAATGTTACCACTCGATAGTCAAGAAGAACTGGGAACTGGGCAGTTTCAGGGAGTTATCTAGCCATTCTCATGGGTCTTCTGTAAATTTGGTCAAATTTTTAAATTTGAATAAAATATTTCCCAGTTCAGGGTATTGAAAAATAATTGACAACAAAAATATTTACTTTGCAATGTGACATGTACTTCCGTCATACTTAATCTTACACTGAGTCATTGATTACAATGTTAAGATACACCAGGGCCATGTTCCACAAAGCAACCGTAGTGCTCAGATGATCGTAACTCCCATACTTTAACATAGACTTACGACAGTCGTAGCTCAATGATCGGCTTGTGGAATGGGGCCGAGAGTTAAAGAGAGTTAGGAAAACCATTCCGAAGTTTTGGTCAAAACTTTGTTTTTCCCAATTAATTTGGAAAAAAACTACCTTTTGTTTGGAAAATAAATATATCATTTACTTACATTGTAAGTATTCTGTTGTTTGTTGGAAATGTCTCAATAAAGCCAGTGTATCTAGCCATCACCAGCACCCTTCTCGTCATGTACACAACCAAGCTCCTCACAGCAATAGCCCGTTCGTGGAGCTCTCTATACTATCGCTGCCACCAGTCAAAACTCCCCACTGTGAATAGGTGGCCACAACCATGCTTGGAGTTGAACTTTCAACCGAACGACCGTTATGTTTACAAACAAGTGACGACTGTTGTGGCGTCGAATACACTTATCGCTGCTAAATTACTTTCTTCGTTTGTCAATTTGAATTTCTGTTTCATTAAAACTATCAAATTATTGATATAGTAAGAATGTAAGGGAGAAGTTGGTTGATTTTCCGTTAGTCTGCAATCTCGAACCAATCTGATGATACAAACAACAAAGTAAATTCATCTGGAAAACATGGTCAGTCGCAAACCTTTTCAAAATGAAATATGATGGCATTCCCAAAGACATAAACAAAAGTATCAACGTTACTACATTTGGGATTTGAGGGCATATTTCAAGATTCTTGTAATGGCCGCGCCCACACTGGTGGCAGCGATGTTACCGAGAGTGTAACGAAGGTGTCACGTGCTGGGAAGGAGCTTGGTTCACAACAAGCTAAGGGAGATAACTCTATGATGCTCACCACTGCGGCGCTGGATCCTCTCATGTCGCGTCTCTGTCCGTGGGGGTGAAAGGTCAAAGTGTACCGTCTTCATCTGTCGCCGCCACCGGTTTTCACTTTCCTCCTCATTTTCATCTGACAGTGTGAAGTAAATAAATCTTCATGTGATCAGATTAAGTAACACCAGTCTCCAAAGATCAGTCAGCAGATAGATGTTACCACCCACCCAATGTTAATCATTATAGTGACTAATAGGAAAGTCTTTCATTGCCATCTTCCCACATCTTCCCAAAGCAAGGGAGTTAACTGACTTTAAAAGTTCAGTTTCCACTCTGGCCGAACTAGGCTGTAATTCCTGGGCTCGATCGTAGCGCCACCAGTGGTTTTTACGAGTTATGACCCTTCTAAATCTCTCCTATGGACCAATCAGATTCCACCTCTCGTATCACTTGCATTTGATTCAAACAAAATGGCGGCGCACAGTCAAGACGATCTGATCGATAATCAAGATCTATAGTGTGATAAAACAGGTCCTACATCGCAAAGTGCATCAAATCATCTGAGCACCTTCATTAAAAACATGAAAAGATTTGGAAAATATATGTTGACAAGTTGGCGGTGCACATGTTTTGCAAATCCTGCAATCGACCGAAATCTACACGACAGTTTACTGACCGGATTTGGATTTCATTGTGCAATTTTGATTGGACTATGCACGACAGTGTGAAGTAAATAAATCTTCATACAATCAGATTAAGTAACGAACGATCTCAAAAGATCAGTAAACAGCTAGATAAGAAAAGTCAGTCTACATGTTAACACCCAACCAATGTAAGTTAATATCGTGACTAATAGGAAAGTCTTTTATTGCCAAATTCCCAAGGCAAGGGACTTAACTGACTATAAATGTCCATTTTCTAGCCTTGCTTGAATTCTGGAGTTACATTTCGTCTGGATGAATGAGTCAATGCATAGTCCACTTAAAATCGCGTAACAAACTTGGACAACAAGAGCGATCCATGCAATTGGGATACGATGACATGCACCAACCAAGTCAGCGAGTCTGACCATCTGATCCCGTTAGTCGCCTCTTACGACAAGCAAAGTCGCCTTGTACAGCAAGCATGGGATGCTGAAGACCTATTCTACCCTGGATCTTCAAGGGTCCCATTTTGTTTGAAGCAAATGCAAGTGATATGAGAGATGGAATCTCATTGGTCAATAGGAAGGACATAGAAGGAACATAACTCTTCATAGCCACTGGTGGCGCTACGATCGAGCCTGGCAATTCCAGCCTAGTTTGGCAAGGGTGGAAACTGGACTTTTATATGCCTTAGGATGATGTTCATTGCTTAATGACAATACAATTTATCTCTCCAATATAAGAAAATGAATATTCTGTTTTTTAGCTGAACAAAATTGCTTATCAACAATCAACTCTATCAAAACAGTCCAATATGGTTGATGGTGACATCATGTCAGATGTCCAAGTTCTTCAATACACATTCATACCATGTGTGTACTTCTCTTCATCCACATCATCTCTGTCCTCGGTGTCTTCAGCGCTGCTGTTGTCACTATCAAGGTCAAGGACATCTCCTTCTACCGTGTGTCGAGATGATGGGTGCTACAATGCAGAGGACGCGTCATACAACTGTCTGACTGACATTCCTTGTTTGTGTCACCTTCTCTGTTAATTACATCTCTACCTGTACACATTGGATCAGATCTCTGACAATACACACTGTATCACATCTATGACACATTCCTGTACTCCCTGACTCACATCTCTGCATTAACATCTCTGCACTCCCTGACTCACATCTGGAGTCCCTGACTCACATCTCTGTACTCACCGACTCACATCCCAGTACACCGACTCACATTTCTGCGCTCCCTGACTCACATTTCTGTACTCATCGACTCACTTCCCTGAACACCCTGACTCATATTTCTGCACTCCCTGACTCACACCTCTGTACTCATCGACTCACTTCCCTGTACTCCCTGACTCACATTTCTGCACTCCCTGACTCACATCTCTGTACTCATGGACTCACTTCTCTGTACTCCCTGACTCACATTTCTGCACTCCGACTCACATCTCTGTACTCCCTGACTCACATCCCTTTACTCCCTGACTCACATCTCTGCACTCCCTGACTCACATCCCTGTACACCCTGACTCACATCCCTGTACTCCCTGACTCACATCCCTGTACTCCCTAACTCACATCCCTGTACTCCCTGACTCATATTTCTGTACTCACCAGCTCACATCCCTGTACACCCTGACTCATATTTCTGTGCTCCGTGACTCACATCCCTTTACTCCCTGACTCACATCTCTGCACTCCCTGACTCACATCCCTGTACTCCCTGACTCACATCATTGTACTTCCTGACTCACATTTCTGTGTTCCCTGACTCACATCCCTGTACTCCCTGACTCACATCCCTGTACTCCCTGACTCACATCCCTGTACTCCCTGACTCACATCCATGTACTTCCTGACTCACATTTCTGTGTTCCCTGACTCACATCCCTATACTCCCTGACTCACACCCCTGTACTCCCTGACTCACATCTCTGCACTCCCTGACTCATATCCCTGTACTCCCTGACTCACATCCATGTACTTCCTGACTCACATTTCTGTGTTCCCTGACTCACATCCCTGTACTCCCTGACTCACATCCCTGTACTCCCTAACTCACATCCCTGTACTCCCTGACTCATATTTCTGTACTCACCAGCTCACATCCCTGTACACCCTGACTCATATTTCTGTGCTCCCTGACTCACATCCCTGTACTCCCTAACTCACATCCCTGTACTCCCTGACTCATATTTCTGTGCTCCCTGACTCGCATCTCTGTACTCACCGACTCACATCTCTGCACTCCCTGACACACATCTCTGCACTCCCTGAGTCACATCTCTGTACTCCCTGACTCACATCTCTGTACTCCCTGGCTCACATCTCTGTACTCCCTGACTCACATCTCTGTACTCCCTGACTCACATCTCTGCACCCCCTGAATCACATCTCTGGACTCCCTGACTCACATCTCTGTACCCCCTGAATCACATCTCTGTACTCCCTGACTCACATCTCTGTACTCCCTGACTCACATCTCTGCACCCCCTGAATCACATCTCTGTACTCCCTGACTCACATCTCAGTACTCCCTGACTCACACCTCTGCACCCCCTGAATCACATCTCTGTACTCCCTGACTCACATCTCTGCACCCCCTGAATCACATCTCTGTACTCCCTGACTCACATCTCAGTACTCCCTGACTCACATCTCTGCACCCCCTGAATCACATCTCTGTACTCCCTGACTCACATCTCTGTACTCCCTGACTCACATATCTGCACTCCCTGAGACACATCTCTGTACTCCCTGACTCAAATCTCTGCACTCCCTGACTCACATCTCTGCACTCCCTGACTCACATCTCTGCAATCCCTGACTCACATCTCTGTACTCCTTGACTCACATTTCTATCTATAAAGACTGACTCACAAACTACATACACGACTCACATCAGTGTACTGTGACTCATATCTCTACAAACTGACTCACATCTGTGGGTGTTTAACAACAACTCTGACTCACATCTCTGGTATGGGACACCCTCCACACTCCTCCCGGCAGATCATCCCTGATGAAGTTGTCCGTCAGTATCTGTCGGCCCCCGAGCTTGCGTCTCGCCTCACTGGTGAATTCATGAACCTGAGACAACCACATATACGTCTGACAACATCACATCACTTCATACATTGGTCAGGGGTCAAGGTCAGGACTATCTCCTCAGCAGCAATGAAACATCATCATTATATAATACATTTATATAAAACATATTTATAAACACATTTATGTATAACACTTATGCAGATACTAGTATCTTTGCAGGAATTTTGTTCCCCGACCAGTGGATCACTTAGCATTCCAGTTATCAATATCAACTCCCTGGGGAGCACACAACCCAAGCTGCCTGGAGGCGCTAGAGGGTTTTTACATCCACCTCATATATCGCTACCGCTAAACAAAGATCTGAGGATCTGAAGGGTCAGGGTATGTAAATGCACATGACTGCATATTCGTAAATATTCCAGTCTGGTGACCACGAATAACGGATTCAATTCATGAATGGATACGGTTCGATTCACCGAATATGCGAGTGAATCGTAACAGCTCTACTGACCATCCAATCCATTAAGCTAGCACAGATTGCAAGGATCAATTCCAACCTGGCATCCCTATGGGCTCCCAAATTAGGTGCCACTTATGACTATCAGCGGGGTGCTGGTGACATTCTACAGCATTCAGGCCTAGATATTGGGTAGACCCATGAAGAATAGGTCTTCAGCAACCCATGCTTGTTGTAAAAGGCAACTATGCTTGTCGCAAGAGGCGACTCAAGGGATCGGGTGGTCAGGCTTGCTGACTTGGTTATTGCATGTCATCGTATCCCATTTGCATGGATCGATGCTCATGATGTCAATCACTGGATTGTCTGGTCCGGACTCGATTATTTACAAACCGCTGTCATACAGCTGGAATATTGCTGAGTGTGGCGTTAAACAACAGAAAAACATATTGGGTAATCTAACTGAATGCTGCTTTTCTGCAGCAGGTATGCATTGGGTACTGAATGTACAGTCGGTCATGTTAAAGCCAGAATCCACAAGTTCATGCCACGGAGTGATGGAATTGCAGAGCTACATCAGTTAGACAGCACTAACCTAAGTAAACTAAGGTCACTATCTGCCTTGAAAGAACATTAGCTGGACATTGTGAAACCTGGAACTTGACACAGTGTTCAGACAGATATACATGGTCATAATTCTCACGGGCTCAGACAGAATTCAGTGAGATAGTATGGCTCATCTCTGAGAGACACAAGGATGGAAGGATGGAAGCCCGCACCTGGTTCGTCTGGTCCGAGAAGGCCTGTGTGTGGGAAGACGGTTGACTGTTTGCCCAGCCTCCTGCAAAGAAGCATTGTACATTAGTCACCAGTGTTATAGAGGCATTGTACATTAGTCACCAGTGTTACAGGGGCATTGTACATTAGTCACCAGTGTTATAGAGGCATTGTACATTAGTCACCAGTGTTACAGAGGCATTGTACATTAGTCACCAGTGTTACAGAGGCATTGTACATTAGTCACCAGTGTTAAAGGGGCATTGTACATTAGTCACCAGTGTTATAGAGGCATTGTACATTAGTCACCAGTGTTATAGAGGCATTGTACATTAGTCACCGGTGTTATAGAGGCATTGTACATTAGTCACCAGTGTTATAGAGGCATTGTACATTAGTCACCAGTGTTACAGGGGCATTGTACATTAGTCACCAGTGTTATAGAGGCATTGTACATTAGTCACCAGTGTTATAGAGGCTTTGTACATTAGTCACCAGTGTCATAGAGGTATTGTACATTAGTAACCAGTGTCACAGAGGCATTGTACATTAGTCACCAGTGTTATAGAGGCATTGTACATTAGTCACCAGTGTTATAGAGGCATTGTACATTAGTCACCAGTGTTATAGAGGCTTTGTACATTCGTCACCGGTGTTACAGGGGCATTGTACATTAGTCACCAGTGTTATAGAGGCATTGTACATTAGTCACCAGTGTTATAGAGGCATTGTACATTAGTCACCAGTGTTATAGAGGCATTGTACATTAGTCACCAGTGTTGTAGAGGCATTGTACATTAGTCACCAGTGTTACAGGGGCATTGTACATTAGTCACCAGTGTTATAGAGGCATTGTACATTAGTCACTGGTGTTATAGAGGCATTGTACATTAGTCACCAGTGTTATAGAGGCATTGTACATTAGTCACCAGTGTTATAGAGGCATTGTACATTAGTCACCAGTGTTATGGAGGCATTGTACATTAGTCACCAGTGTTATAGAGGCATTGTACATTAGTCACCAGTGTTATAGAGGCATTGTACATTAGTCACCAGTGTTATAGAAGCATTGTACATTAGTCACCAGTGTTATAGAGGCATTGTACATTAGTCACCAGTGTTATAGAGGCATTGTACATTAGTCACCAGTGTTATAGGGGCATTGTACATTAGTCACCGGTGTTATAGAGGCATTGTACATTAGTCACCGGTGTTATAGAGGCATTGTACATTAGTCACCAGTGTTATACAGGCATTGTACATTAGTCACCAGTGTTATAGAGGCATTGTACATTAGTCACCAGTGTTACAGGGGCATTGTACATTAGTCACCAGTGTTACAGGGGCATTGTACATTAGTCACCAGTGTTACAGGGGCATTGTACATTAGTCACCAGTGTTATAGAGGCATTGTACATTAGTCACCGGTGTTATAGAGGCATTGTACATTAGTCACCAGTGTTATAGAGGCATTGTACATTAGTCACCGGTGTTATAGAGGCATTGTACATTAGTCACCGGTGTTATAGAGGCATTGTACATTAGTCACCAGTGTTATAGAGGCATTGTACATTAGTCACCGGTGTTATAGAGGCATTGTACATTAGTCACCGGTGTTATAGAGGCATTGTACATTAGTCACCAGTGTTATAGAGGCATTGTACATTAGTCACCGGTGTTATAGAGGCATTGTACATTAGTCACCAGTGTTATAGAGGCATTGTACATTAGTCACCGGTGTTATAGAGGCATTGTACATTAGTCACCAGTGTTATAGAGGCATTGTACATTAGTCACCAGTGTTATAGAGGCATTGTACATTAGTCACCAGTGTTATAGAGGCATTGTACATTAGTCACCGGTGTTATAGAGGCATTGTACATTAGTCACCAGTGTTATAGAGGCATTGTACATTAGTCACCGGTGTTATAGGGGCATTGTACATTAGTCACCAGTGTTATAGAGGCATTGTACATTAGTCACCAGTGTTATAGAGGCATTGTACATTAGTCACCAGTGTTATAGAGGCATTGTACATTAGTCACCGGTGTTATAGAGGCATTGTACATTAGTCACCAGTGTTATAGAGGCATTGTACATTAGTCACCGGTGTTATAGAGGCATTGTACATTAGTCACCAGTGTTATAGAGGCATTGTACATTAGTCACCGGTGTTATAGAGGCATTGTACATTAGTCACCAGTATCATGAAGGGTGATGTAAAGTACATCAATCATTTAGTGTTATAGAGGAGTGAGTGAGTATGCTTTTCGAAGCTTTTAGCAATTTTCCAGCAATATCAAGGCGGGGTACACCAGAAAAGGAAGATCAAACCTGGGTGTTTGGCGTGACGAGCAAACGCTTAAACCACTAGGCTACCCAACTTCCCCGGTTATAGAGGAAGAAGCATTGTACATTATTCACCAGTGTCATGAAGGGTGATGTAAAGTACATGAATCATTAGTGTTACAGAGGAAGAAACATTGTACATTATTCACCAGTGTCATGAAGGGTGATGTAAAGTACATGAATCATTAGTGTTACAGAGGAAGAAGCATTGTACATTATTCACCAGTGTCATGAAGGGTGATGTAAAGTACATGAATCATTAGTGTTACAGAGGAAGAAGCATTGTACATTAACCATCACAGCGTTAGAAATTGGCACTAGTCCTGTAGTCCTTGCCAAACTGCCCAATAGTAAAGGTATCCTAAGGACTAGTAGAAATTGGCCCATTTTAAGTGTTTTGCTATATGTTATCATCAGTGTTATTGTCCATGCACTGTCCCTTACATACCTTGTGTGTTTGGAGCTGCCCTGGACCTGATACTTAAGCCCGGGTGGGTTCTCACTGTACAGCTGTCTTTTCGAGTGGACTGACGCTGAGCTGACAATGTGCTCTGTCTAACTATAAGCCGTTCTCGCTCAATCTGAAATAATCAAATATACATGGCATGTTTAAACTCTGGACTTATAGATCAACATTGTTCAGAAAATGTATTGAATTACATCTTTCAAAGTGCTCAGAGACCACCTCCGTGGTCTAGTGGTAGAGCATCGGCCCCGAGAGCGGAAGGTCTGTGGTTCGATGCCCGGCCGGGTCATACCAAAAGACATTAAAATATGGTACTTGTTGTTACCCTGTCTGGCGCTCGACATTAAGGGGCTGAAACTAGGACTGGTCGGCTCGGAGTCAGTATACAGTATCTGAGTGGGGCATTCATATTAATCTGCGTCATGGTATCTCAGTGGGCTAGCACTATAAATCGGCATAAGTCCGACTAGTCATCTTCCCAAGCCAGAGAGTTAACTGACCATAAAGGTCCAGTTTCCATCCTTGTCGAACTAGGCTGGTATTATGGAGTTACATTTTGGCTGGACTAAAAAGTCTATGCATAGTCCAATCAAAATCGTGTAAAGAAATCAAAATCCGGTTCCAAAACTGTCGTGATGATTTCGGTTGATTGCAGGATTTGCAAAGCATGTGCACCTCCAACTCGCTGACTTGGTTGTTGCATGTCATCGTATCCCAATTGCGTGGATCGCAGCACGATGTCAATCACTGAAATATGTGGCCCAGACTCGATTATTTACAGACCGCTGTCATATAGCTGGAATATTGCTGAGTGCAGCGTTAAACAACAAACAAAATGGTTGGCGCCCAGTCAAAACAAACTGTCGTGTAGATTTCGGTCGATTGCAGGATTTGCAAAGCATGTGCACCTCCAACTCATTGTCAACAGATATTTTCCAAATCTTTTCATGTTCTAAATCAAGGTGCTCACGTGATTTGATGCATTTCGCGATGTAAGACCTGTTTTATCACAATGTAGACCTTGATTATCGATCACTTGTCTTGACAGGGCGATGCTGTTTTGTTTGAAGCAAATGCAAGTAATACGAGAGGTGGAATCTGACTGGTCCATAGGAGAGGCTTAGAAGGGACATAACTGGTAATAGCCACTGGTGGTGCTACAATAGAGCCCAGGAATTCCAGCCTAGTTCGGCAAGGGTGGAAACTGGACTTTTCAAGTCAGTTAACTCCCTTGCCTCGGGAAGATGGCACTAGTACCAGCAGCCTCAAACACACGTGCATGCACAGTCCCTAAGTATGGCAATATTTTGCAATATCTAATTCTGATCAGTACTAAGCCCTGCTCAGTACCCTGCTTGTCCAGAAATCACGACCACTTGATACTGATCAGAATACTGATGGTCCCTCTATGTCATCACTGTTACTGTATCAGTACAGGATTTCAAATGACAAGGAAATCTTGAATATTTGATTGTTATCCAAAGTACTCCCAATGTATTTCAGATGAGTAAAAGTAAACTCTCTAAATTCATCTCATAACATTTACAGTGAGTTCATCTTCCCAAGGCAAGGGAGTTAACTGACAATAAAAGTCCAGTTTCCACCCTTGCCGAACTAGGCTGGAACCTGATTGGTCAATAGGAGGGACATAACTGTTAACAGCCACTAGCGGCACTGCCATTGAGCCACAAAATTCCTGGCTAGTAAGGCAAGGATGGAAACTGGACTTCTACAGTCAGTTACTTCCCTCGGGAAGATGCAATGAGTTATGACTTGAACCACATGGGGATTCCAGGTTAGCATTGGTCCCTAGCAACCTCTGCTCATCACATGAGTGAGTTGGGTTTAACGCCGCTTTTAGCAGTATTCCAGTTATATCGCGGCGTGTCAGCTTAATGTGGGAGGAAAGCCCTAAGTGATGCAGGTCTCAGACGTTGACCACTTCGGTGAAACCCACCAGCACGGGTATGGTGCTGACAAACCTAGAAACATAATCGGGGCGAACCGGGATTCGAACCCACAATCATAGGTTTCTGGTGTGCCCAAGGGACGCAACTCTGCACAGCGAATCACGGCGCCTTAGACGACTGGGCGACCCGTGCCCCCAAAGATGCAGTGAGTTATGACTTGAACCCCATGGGGATTCCAGGTTAGCACTGGTCCCTAGCAACCTCTGCTCATCACACGAGGGTTGACTCAGTGAACCAAGTGGTCAGGCTCAGCGATTTGGTGGATTGCGTGGCACTAAACTGCCATCAGGCTGGAATATTGTTGAGTGAGGCATCAAACAAGACACAAACATGGCAGGTGACACCCTGTCCATCACACTTACAGCGTTGACCACCATCTGTGCCTGCTGCTGCTTCTTCAGCCTGTCCAGATGCCGAACCCTTCTCTTGACCTCGTCCTGGAAGCGTCTCAGTCGGTCCTCTTTCTCCCTCTGCATCTGAAACATCCGATTCTCCTCCTCCACTGCCGCCTCCTGCAACACCAGACACACAGCATAAGATTACCAAGGCCACTTTTGTAAGTTTTAGACACTTTTGTCAACCATGCTAACAACACATGTGCATTAATACAAGAGAAATAACCATGCTTAATTATCATGTAATGGACAGTGTTATCAATGTGATAAACCATTCCAATACATTTTGGTATAACGATCAAATAAATCCGTAAATGATGTCGCCAAGTAGGAACAACTGTCAAGCTCTATTCATTGATGTAACACCTTCTTTCGCCTTGATTCGCTGCACAGGGCTGCATCCCTTGGGCACGACAGAAACCTATGATTGTGGGTTCGAATCCCAGTTCGCCACGATTATGTTTCTAGGTTTGTCAGCACCATACCAATGCTAGTGGGTTTCACCGAAGTGGTAAACGCCTGAGACATGCATCACTTCGGGCTTTCCTCCCACATTAAGCTGACACGCTGCGATAGAACTGGAATACTGTTAAAAGAGGCGTTAAAGTTTAAACCCAACACACTCACTCACTCTCAATGTACTATTGACTAGATTTGTGACAGGCCAGTTGGTGTAGTCCATATTATTGAGGTCACGTGATACAAATCCATTTTCTTCCTGCCAGTGTTTTTTCTTCTTGAATGCAGCCACAGACCTCAAAGTTTAGTTTTTTACCAAGTAGCCATATGGCTACTTGGTATTTTTTTCCAGGTAGCCATTGGTAAAATCAAGAAGACAAGCCAGTGTAGGTAGCCAAATGCATTTGAAATTATCTCTTATCAAATAACTATTACCGTATTCGACGTAATAAGCGCCCCGCTCTAATAAGCGCCCACGGCGAGATTTGCTAATACTGGCTTGTGAACAATCCCAATTAGCACCCCTTCCGACCCCTATTCCCATATAATACGCACTCGTGTGTTATATGCACCCTTTATTATTGGCAATTAAATTCTGGAAAAATATATCTGTCGAATATAAATATTTCAGGCTGTCAGCATAAACCACGAAATTTATCTTTCAACTCTGCTTTTTCTCTCCAAAATATTATTCTTATAAGAGCCCCCTATTTCTAGTTTTGAGAGCGCCCTGGGTGCTTATTACGTCGAATACGGTACATGTACAGGTCATAGCACTACTCTTGGAATTGTATATTAGTGGAAACTGTACTTGAGTTTTGTTATTTCTGACTCGAACAATGACGCAATTTATGTTAGTAGATCATATAGGTATGTCCTTGCCTATCTAATAAACTATCAACTAAAATAAAATACTAATTGCATTAATATTTATGTATTTCGGTTAATTGTTGCCTTTAGGGGGAATTATTTGCGAGTACAATCAGTAGCAGACATGTTTATTTTTGTGTCTAAATATGTGTAGCAATAGAATTTAGTAGCCACAAGATATTTTTCAAGGTAGTCATTTGGCTACCTCTGAATTTTAGACAGTAGACAAATTGAAATTTAGGTCGCATTGGCGACCGTTTTAGTCGCAACTTTGAGGCCTGCAGCCAGCATAATTTTGCAATCTAAAGTTTGTGGTATGTACACTGGCTGTAAACTAGATACAGCTAAACAATAATTTACCATTTAAACTGTATTTCCTATTCTGCTAGTCATTGTTATATATGCAGAGATTAAGATTACTGTGTGTATTTTCTCGAAAACTAAACCAGAAGTAGCAATCAGCTGTACACACATTTTCTCCTTGATCGACCGGTTGAACAGTTAAGACATACCATATAATTTAAGTTAAAAGAATTTTTATGCAATGATCAGATCATTAAAATCAGATCATGGTTCTTAATTTCTTGTTACCATGGTTACTGCTAAACAAAGATTGTATCTGAAACTATCATCAGGGATCAATGATATTCCAATGTTGTTTTATTTTAGTTGCAGCTTATACTTATATTCAAAATAACCATAGGCAAAGCACTTCAGTACAGCTGAAAGTTATTGCCGGATATATTTTATGGGGTGCAGGCTAAAACGTCACCCCAGCAAAACGTCACCGATTTCTCTGGCGAAAACGGCTACTATGTGTCGGGCGAAAACGGCACCTCTATTTTTAATAAGGATAAGAACAATTTTTGTAGTAATATATATGGTTTATTTACATGGTCACAGTTATCACAGCATGTTGTTGTTTTCTGACATTCTTCTCCCATGCAACACATCGAAAGGCCATTGTGAATAATTGTGATCTGACAGCACCATGTTAGGCCTCTTAAATACAGTTTCTGTTTAAATTGAGTAAAGGTACTTAAAACTTCAAAGCGTATAGTGTTTCCACATTAAGTTAACTGGCCCCCCAATCAGTCGGCGAGTAAATTGGAGTAGGGGTCTAATTTCTTACTTGTTTTATTTCACAATTTCACAATTATTTGTGTTTGTAAGAGACTACGTGAGTTTAATTTCTATTAGTTTTCTTCAAAGCATGTCACATTTTCACAATAAGTTGTGTTGCGTATAAGCTAAGTTGGATTATAGTTGGAGTAATTTCTAATGTAAACTTGTTTTAGCATCTCACAATTATTGGTGTTTGAAAGTTACCATATAAGCTTAATAGCACTTATTTGACCAAGGTAAAAAAAAAATAAGGTGCCATTTTCGCCAGGCAATAATAGCCGTTTTCACTTAAGTCGAGGTGCCGTTTTCGCCAATCGGTGCCGTTTTCACTATAACCCTATTTTATGCATTGAGCTGTTTGACCAGTTGCTGTGGAGACTTCCATTTCAAACGCAAAAACACTACGTTGACATTTAAATAGTCAAACTACAACAAAAATGGCTTATAATAAGACAGTGTAAGGCATTTATAATATATGTATCCATTCTCTGTCAACTAAGGTTTGATTCAAGGCGCCATTAGCAGTAATCTGATAATGGTTGCTGTAAATAACGGCACACACGATTTTGCCGAAATTGGTGTATACAATATTGAATGAAAGTTTGAATATACAGTGAACACTTGCCATAACCAGATATATAATATTAGCATGATAACAGGATTTAATTGCGTACTTCAATATGGATTTGTTGACATGATATTTCTGGTGCTCACGGTAATTTTGGCTGGACTAGCGAATCAAAATTGTGTAACAATATCGATATCTGGTTCATAAACAACACGCCGACTGCCATGCAGATTTCAGTAGAGTGCGGGATTTGCAAAGGATGTGTACCATCAAATGGGCATTGACTTTTATTTAATCAAGGTTAGGGCTGGGACGGGTAACTCGGGTACTCGGGTACTCGGGTCGGGTGGGTACTAAGTAGGACCCGGGTACCCACAGGACTACCCGGACCCGTGGTTAGTCACGTGATATATTGTTTAGTGATAAAAAGTATCTAAACCTCTATGTTTAAACTACACGTCACTAATGTTCGCAGTTCTTCATGACTACTTTTCTGGTGTCCCCCGCCGTGATATTGCTGGAATATTGCTAAAAGTGGCGTAAAACCATACTCATTCACCCATGACTACTACGCCCATTCCTTCTGACTTTTATATGTTTGAATAAAAATAAAACTTCAGTCAACTTCAGTGTATACACCAGATCGTTTCATACTTGTATCTAAACACATTTTACCTGAGGTACGGTCGAACGTTTTCCAATCGGACAGTTTGTACCTACCTCTTGAGACCTATAGCGGGTACCCGGGTAGGGTCGGGTAATAGAGGGTTGGGTACCCGGGAAGTAAATCTGGACTCGTCCCAGCCCTAATCAAGGTGATCAAGTGATTTGATGCACTTCGGAAGGGAAGAGCCATATTCAAATCCAACACCTCTTGTCGAGTCTTTGGATTTGCGTTAGGGCTAGTGCTGGGGTCATAATAATTATTACACAGCTATAATTAAATCTGAAAAAGTGCACTACTCCCCAGTTATCCCTTATTTAAATTTTTAAAAACGCAAAATCAAAATTATTTCTTTATAAGTGTGCATTTATCAAGCTTCCATTTTCCATTGACATCAAAACATGATCGAACTTGTTCAGAAATCGAAATAATGTTACTTACTATTGCGTTGGGATGACTGTTGATCATCTGTTCAGTAGCAGGCTGGACCCAGGCGCCGACGGGCCTGATTTCAACATTCCGATTTCCCATCACATCTGTGCTGATCACGGGCTTCATCATTCCTTTCATCCCGGCAGACGCAAATGTTTTTGTTTTCGCCGCCATTTTCTTTGAATGTTTCAGAAAAGTTTACTTGCTATTCATACGAATAGCCGTTCTGGTATACTACTAATTATAAGCAATCACATTCACACGTGGAATTGATAGTACAGGCGCATACTTATTTTCTTATTCTTTTGTCAAATGGTAACTTTACCAAGTTTGTTCTGCAACAAATTGAACATATTTCGTTTTATTCCTATCTATACATTTACACAAATATGCAAGGGAGGCTACTCTACAAGACAATAAACTTTTGAGCTTCAGAAGCATTGTAAACAGGTAAGGGCGAGCGACCGACTTGTAAGGGTTTTCTTAAGACAGTGACACGTCAGTTAAGTAGATATTATTACCGAGTAACGATAGGCAAGATAAGTGTCCCTACAGGTCGATGTATAATACATCATTGAAGTATAATACCCCGAATACTACGTATTGTCTTTACCCCGATCGGCAGACAGTAGGGCCGGGACGAGTCCAATTTTAGTACCCGGGTACCCACCCCCTATTACCCGACCCTACCCGGGTAGGTCTCAGGAGATGTCTTAAAATGTCCGATTGGGACCTTTTTTAGTACAGCATTGGCAAAACGTATTTAGATCCATGTATTAAACAATCTGGTCATGCATACACTGTTCAAAGTTGCCTTACGTTAACTTATATCTTTATTCGGAAATAGTGCACTTTACCGGGCGCACTTTTTCAGATCCAATTAGCGCTGTGGGGGCTCGAATGCGCTTCGCCGGCTCACCGGCTCTGCTAGTTAATGCGTTAATTAGCCGACGCTCTACCACTGGACCACAGGCCCTATCACATGTAATCAGTGCTCGTTTAACAGGTCATTAGAATCCCCATTGACATGCATGCATAATTCAGTAAACAATGAATTGCGCATGCGTGTGACGTCACAGTCCGCTCTCCCATTCATCTTTTCTTGAAACCACACCCGCAATTGTTTATGTCAACATGACCGACCAATAGGATTAACTGGATTAATGCTTGAACAGGTAAGAATTTATGGCTAACCCTTGCCCAAAGCAAGCTAACCCTTATGACCGAAAAGGGGTTTTGGATCGTAAAGACGTGTAAGTTTCCCTAAGACTGAAATCAGGTGTTGGATCGTAAAGACGTGTAAGTTTCCCTAAGCCGAAAAACGGGTGTTGGATCGTAAAGACGTGTAAGTTTCCCTAAGACCGAGAACGGGTGTTTGATTGTAAAGATGTGTAAGTTTCCCTAAGACCGAAAACGGGTGTTGGATCGTGAAGCGAGAGTCACCAGAGCGTGAGGCACGGTAACGGTATAACGAGACAGCGGTGGCACTATAGCGCGGTAATTGAGCGGATGGTAGAGCTGGGGCTGCACCCGGTTAACTGCATTGTTGCCCTTTATTCAACCATATGAAAAATCAGAAGGAATGGGTGCATAATCAGAAAGAAATGCGAAAATTATTGACTTGTAGTGTAACCATAGAGCTATAGATAATTTTTGTCATTATGCATTTTATCACATGATTAACCATGGGTCTGGGTAGTCCTGTGGGTCCTGTGGCTATTCAGTACCAACCCTGGTGCCCGAGTTACCCGTCCAAGCCCTAGCAGACAGTATCACAAAGATTGTGATATCTGCAATAGCAGTCTTTGTCCAAATGCACAAAGTGTCTCTCATGAGGTGGTAGGATGACCTTCTAGCGCCTCACAGGCAGCTTGGGTTGTATACTGCCCAGGGAGCTGAGAATGAAAATCGAGTGCTCACTGATCCATTGACCAGGGTAATAATAGTGTAGCGCCATGAGCATCCACTCAGTGAATGCAATCTGGCGCATTATAAATGCACTTATTATTATGATACCTGTATATGTTGCACACTCATTCTTTTTATTTTGTTTGTTTGTTGTTTAAAGCCACACTCAGCAATATTCCATGAGGGTGGTCTGTAAATAATCGAGTCTGGACCAGACAATTCAGTGATTGACATCATGAGCATCGATCCACGCAATTGGGATCGATGACATGCATCAACCAAGTCAGTGAGCCTGACCACCCGATCACGTTAGTCGCCTCTTATGACAAGCATAGCCGCCTTTTATTGCTGAAGACCTATTCTACCCCACTTTTTATTTTGAGGTAAATGTTGGATGGAATGTTTTTTTCCATGACCAATGATGATGATGGAATTGAAAGTAGGATAGTCTTCCAAACTGAAATATGGCAAATAAGTTGGCGTCATACGCGTCATACCACAGGTATCAGGTAAACACCTATTTAGGTGTAATACATCAAGTGGCTTGTTATTGACCAATCTACGGTTATCCCAAATCTGACATTCAGTAAACTACAGTTATAACGAACTCGAAGGGACCACTAATTTTAGTTATAACCATAGTTCATTATAAGCATATATACAGCATATATTCAACAAATGGCCAGGACTAAAAAATAAGTTTGTTGAATCGGTCAGTTCGCTAAAACGGTGTTTGTTATACCCGTAGTTTACTGTACTTGGACAAGGTTATCGTCAGCTTGTTCACACAGACACTTTCACAACTTTTGGATAAATAAGGTAATGAAACATTTGCATGAATTAAAACTACAGCACATGAAGGAGATTCAGAGAGATTTGACTTTGAGAGGCAGGTGTCTTTGATACATTACTCCTGGCGTTCTGAGACCCGGGAAGATTCCGGGGTAGAATAGGTCTTCAGCAACCCATGCTTGCCGTAAAAGGCGACTCTGCTTGTCGTAAAAGGCGACTAAAGGGATCGGGTTGTCAGGCTCGCTGACTTGGTTAATGCATGTCATCGATCCCAATTGCATGGATCGATGCTCATGATATTTATCACTGGATTTTCTGGTCCAGACTCAATTATTTACAGACAGCCGTCATATAGCTGGAATATTGCTGAGTGCGGCATTAAACAACAAACCAACCTGGCGTTCTGAAGCAAGGCATTGCGGAGTTACCTTCGACGATATAGATGTTCATTTAACTTGCATGCTACATTTGTAGTTAACAGTTGTTGCCTTTTTGAAACTGATACATTTTTCACCTGATCCTGCTTTTGCAATAACATCTAAACAATGAAAACAGTTTCTGAATCCTTACAAGTTGTAGGAAGGCATCACACATCCCAGTGTCACTGTGACAGAGTCCATGAACATTCCTGGTCTCCAGAGATCTGGACTGCTGAGTCCGGACGCAGACGGAAAAAGTCAAAACGCTACACAAAGTGGTCTCCCCTTCTCTTCGCCTACACAGCCTCAGCAGATCCCAAACATGCCGGTACGTGGCACTGCCGTCATTATGGCAGGAAGATGGTTTTTGGGTTGGTTTGTTGTTTACGCCGCACTCAGCAATATTCCAGCTATGTGACGGCAGTCTGTAAAGGACAAGACAATACAGTGATTCACATCATGAGCATCGATCCACGGAATTGGGATACGATGACATGCATCAACCAAGTCAGTGAGCCTGACCACCCGATCCCATTAGTCGCCTCTTACGACCAGCTTAGTCACATTTTACAGCAAGAACGGGTTGCTGAAGACCTATTCTACCCCGGATCTTCACGGGTCGGCATGGAGATGTTAAAGCATAGATTGCAATCCACTTTGTCCAATACAATATATATCTACAAGGAGTGTTGCAATATGTCTACCTCATGTATAGATACATACGGTTGTACTGGAGTCGTGATAGAATGCAATTAATATTTGCAACTGTTTCAGTTTGTGTGAACTTCCATGACTGATAAATTAATGCTTGTTCTAATAGTTTTCAGCTTACAATTTCTTTTGTGATAGGCGGTAAGGCAATGCAATGTTATTATTCAATGTTAATATCCCTCTGAATTTAGGAATTGTTTTTTTAAATCTCAAGTTCGAACAAACTAAGGATTTTATTCCAATTTTCCTACCAAAGGCACTTGGGTTTGAAATCCTAGATAAATCCATTATTGCAACAAGACAGTCAGTATAACAATAATGTGTGTTTTGTAATATATTACTTTCATTATCATGATTATCATGATTTCAGCAGTAATTCCAAACACTAGTCTCCGTGAAAAACTCTCTTCTAACTGTATAGATACTATCTACTTGGTAGGAAAACATACTAGGTTAACTGTTGTACTTTCTACCATGCTTGTTTTGTGAGCTGAAATTGAGGTTTGTTTTGCAGCATCCTCTTTCATTATGGGGGGCACGGGTGGCCCAGTCGTCTAAGGCGCCGCGATTCTCTGTGCAGAGTTGCGTCCCTTGGGCACGCCAGAAACCTATGATTGTGGGTTCGAATCCCGGTTCGCCCCGATTATGTTTCTAGGTTTTTCAGCACCATACCCGTGCTCGTGGGTTTCACCGAAGTGGTAAACGTCTGAGACCTGCATCACTTCGAGCTTTCCTCCCACATTAAGCTGACACGCCGTGATATAACTGGAATACTGTTAAAAGCGGCGTTAAATCCAACTCACTCACACTTTCATTATGACTTACCATATTCGACACAATAAGGGCCCAGGGCACTCTCAAAATAAGAAATAGGGGGCTCTATTAGAATAAAATTTTGGTGAAAAAAACAGTTGAAAGATTGTAAATTTCGTAAAGTCTGTGTATTATGTACACGACAGATATATTTTTCAGAATTTAATTGCCCATAATTAAGGGTGCATATAACACACAGATAAATAAGTCTTGTGTACATTGATCAATTTGAAGGGATGCTAATTGTTTGTTTGTTTGTTGTTTGTTTGTTTATTTGTTGTTTAACGCCGTACTCAGCAATATTCCAGCTATATGACGGTCGAGTCTGGACCAGACAATCCAGTGATTGACATCATGAGCATCAATCCACGCAATCTGGATCGATGGAAACCAAGTCAGTGAGCCTGACCACCGGATCCCGTTAGTCGCCTTTTACGACAAGCATGGGTTGCTGAAGACCTATTCTACCCAGATCTTCACGGGTCTCTGATTGTTGGTTTTAATCACATATTCATTTTCTGACCTCACATTCCTGTGCTCATGGGTTTCACGGAAGTGGTAAATGTCTACAACCTGCTCCATTTTTGGCATTCCATCCACATTATACTTACATGCCTAAATATGACGGAAGGGCATGGTGGCCCAGTCATCTATGGTGCCACAAATTCCTTGCAGAGTTGCGACCCTCGGGCACACCAAAAACCTATGATCGTGGGTGGGTTCAAATCCAGGTTCACCCCGATCATGTTTCTAAGGTTGTGAGCACCATACCCGTGCCCGTGGGTTTTACAAACGGCATCAACGTCCATAACCCTGAGCTGCAGATAAGCAGTGTATTTGCATAAAATACCTCCCCCTCCCCCAAATATAAATATTTAAAAAAAATTACTTTCAATTATTTTGCGTACAGAAATACATGCATTAAATGAAAAACTCAAATGTATAAAAATACCTCGCGTAAATATCCAATGAAGCTTTTTCAGCATGTGTTCAAAGGAGCTAGTTTCTGAAACACAATTACGAGCTAATTTACTTACCGAGTCAAACCTATATTTTTAGAACAGTTATTGGTATAAATAGAAACCCTAGAGTAAAAACTCAATTGCTCAATAAGTTATCTGGAGCTATGATAACCTTCTTTAACATTTGCTGCACCTGAGAAATTACACTGACTTTTCTTAATATGACTGACATACATTTCAAATCCACATTGAACTCAACTGACCTCATGGATGACCAGGCTGAAGTAGTAGGTAGCTACTGACAATGTGTGTGTCACAGCTGCTGCCATGGAGGTGTTCCTATGTGTGGTGCGATATGTTGTACATACTCATCTGTTTCTGCAGGGCTCAACTCCATCTCTGCTGTCGGGCATGTCGTTGGTGTCACAGCTGACGCCATGGAGGTGTTCCTATGTGTGGTGCGATATGATGTACATACTGATCTGTTTCTGCAGGGCTCAACTCCATCTCTGCTGTCGGGCATGTCGTTGGTGTCACAGCTCGCATCTCCTCCGGCAGCAGGAAGCCATGCTGCAGCTCTTCAGCAGCTCCATCTACAGAGCACTGCAGGGTAGGTAACTCATTCAGCTCTCAGCAGGGTAGGTAACTCATTCAGCACTCAGCAGGGTAGGTAACTCATTCAGCACTCAACAGGGTAGGTAACTCATTCAGCACTCAGCAGGCTAGGTAACTCATTCAACACTCAGCAGGGTAGTTTACTTATTTAGCACTAAACAGGGTAGGTAACTCATTCAAAACTCAGCAGGGTAGGTAACTCTTTCCCTTCTTGACAGGGTAGATAACTCATTCAGTTCTTGGCAGGTTAGGTGGCTTATTCAACATTCAACAAGGTAGGTAACTCATTCAGCACCCAGCAAGGTAGGTAACCTTTTCAACACTCAAGATGTAGGCTAATGCACTGAAGTGTTGCCTAATACTGAAGATCTGGGTTTAATACTATAATGGTGAATGTGTGAAGCCCATTCCTTTTGTCCCCTACCATAATGTGTCTAGAGATGAGGAGAGGTGAAATTAGGTTTAACGTCGCATCCAAGATTATTGAACTTATATAGCAACGTGCACGCATGTGTGTGTTTGTGGCTGCTTATACTAGTCCGGACTGATGCTGATTTATGGTTCTAGCTCACAGAGATACCATGCCACAGTTTAACATGAATACCCCACTCAGACACAGTATTCTGACTCCGAGCCGACCAGTCCTTGTTTTAGCCCCTTAATGCCGAGCGCCAGACAGGGTAACAACAAGTACCATCTTTTAACGTCTTTTGGTATGACGCGGCCGGGGATCAAACCCCGGACCTTCCCCTCTCCAGGTGGATGCTCTACCACTAGACCACGGAGGCCGTCTAATGTGTCTAGAATATTGCTACATTGTCATATATAAAATACCCTAGGGCACACTCTGACTTCTATGTTAAAAATTGAATGTAACGAGGAGAAAAAGGATCACTGCAGGTGGGTTGTCTGTTGGCAGTGTCCAGCCAGGCCAGAGTTTGTTGGGCAACTTCCCCAAGGCAAGCCCTGCCAGGAGTTTAGCAGGCAGGTTTGGTGTGAGGAGCTCAGCTACTCGGGCGACCCACCCCCAGGATTACTACTACAGGAAGTGGAGACGCCTCAAGAAGCTCATCAAGGACACTGTGTTTGTAAGTCACCCATCTCGCATCATTCAGTTGCAGGAGTTCAACATGAGATTTACATGTTAATTTTATATTTTTGTTTGTGCAGTGATCAACATAGCCTTTCACCTTTTAACATGGATGTCTACACAACAGATGTATATATTTGTCTCCTACGTAAGGTTTTTCCCTTTATTTCCAGTTGTCATTTATCATTCAGAATCGTCTGTGAATGATCACATTTCTTCTCTGTATCAAGTTACTATTTTCTATCCCAGAATGCAATATATTTTCCCCGGGCATGCGCAGTACTGCGGATGTGACGTCATTTTGTTTATCTATATTAACAAGAGCCTCAATGTCGTTCAGCTTGTTTCCATTGTTCTCTCAGCTGTCATTACGACCCTCCATCCATCCCCATCTCCACCAAGGGGCTGGCTCGGAAGGGGCTTGGAATGTCAATCCTTCTGTACACTATCATTATAAGCGCTTGCGGCCCCCAAAGTATTTTCATTTTCACTCAAACCCACAGGGTATCACCCTTTCTACTGACCCGCAGGGTCTCTAAAATAAATATTTCAAATTTACTGATGCAATTGTTTTTGTTGTCACTGCACAAACTGATATTATTGATAAGTAAAGTAATCTTTATGCCTTCTTTTGTAAATCACTTAGGGCTTCCTTATCATCTTTTCAAAGACTTGTAGTATCATTGGTCATTAACATTTTTAAGGTGTTTTGTGGAAATAATTGTCAATTGATTGAATTGAGGAAAATGTAGGAAAACATTTATTTATTTCTAATGACCAATCAAAGGGGAACAAAAAAAGGCAATCTTTCAATCAGAGAGATTCTCTTGGAATTAGCACTCCTTTCAGAAAAGTGTTTGAAATGAATGTCTGACTGAAAACATTCAGTAAATATGATTTTGATGTCAGAAGCAGCCATTTTGGCTCAATTGTTTCATAGGCATTACTTGAAGTTGACAGATGACTAAGTAGACACAATTTATGGATAACAACTTCTTTAATACTGTGGGGACACGGGTGGCCCAGTCGTCTAAGGCACCGCGATTCTCTGTGCAGAGTTGCGTCCCTTGGACACGCCAGAAACCTATGATTGTATGTTCGAATCCCGGTTCTCCCCGAATATGTTTCTAAGTTTGTCAGCACCATACCCGTGCTCATGGGTTTCACCAAAGTGGTAAACCGTCTGAGACCTGCCTCACTTTGGGCTTTCCTCCCACATTAAGCTGACACGCCGTGATATAACTGGAATACTGTTAAAAGCGGCATTAAACCCAACTCACTCACTCACTCACTCTTTAATACTGTAAAGGCGACGTTATATACGTAAAAGTATAGTTCCTTATATTGTTGTCAAGCAAGACTGGGTATAAGGATCTATACCTAAACGTCGCCTTTACAGTATTAAAGAAGTTGTTATCCATAAATTGTGTCTACTTAGTCATTTTGTAATGATCACTCATCACAATTGTGAGGAATTGTGATACAAATTCATTTTTGGATCTTTTTGCAAAATGTTATGGTGTCAAGATTAAGCAAATACATTCATCTGTTTTCCTGACTGTGTTTGTTGTAGATCAATGGGTCTTTTGTTGTAGATCAATGGGTCTTTTGTTGTAGATCAATGGGTCTTTTGTTGTAGATCAATGGGTCTTTTGTTGTAGATCAATGGGTCTTTTGTTGTAGATCAATGGGTCTCTTGTTGTTGATCAATGGGTCTCTTGTTGTAGATCAATGGGTCTTTTGTTGTAGATCAATGGGTCAGTGTGTGATGAGGTGATCCGCATCGAGGAGAAACTGGCCCGGTCCAAGGAGGAGAGAAGGTAGGTCTGGGGGGTTCTGTCAGGGTAAGGAGAGAAGATAGATCGGACGTCTGGGAGGTTGGGTCAGATGAGGAGAGAAGGTAGGTCGGATGTCTGGGGGTTGTGTCAGGGTTAGGAGAGAAGGTAGGTCGGATGTCTCGGGGGTTGTGTCAGGGTAAGGAGAGAAGGTAGGTCGGATGTCTCGGGGGTTGTGTCAGGGTAAGGAGAGAAGGTAGGTCCAGATGTCTCGGGGGTTGTGTCAGGGTAAGGAGAGAAGGTAGGTCGGATGTCTGGGGGGTTGTGTCAGGGTTGGGAGAGAAGGTAGGTCGATATCTGGGGGTTGTGTCAGGGTTAGGAGAGAAGGTAGGGCGATATCTGGGGGGTTGTGTCAGAGTAGGAGAGGAGGTAGGTCGGATATCTGGGGTTGTGTCAGGGTTAGGAGAGAAGGTAGGTCGGATGTCTGGGGGTTGTGTCAGGGTAAGGAGAGAAGGTAGGTCAGATGTCAGGGGGGTTGTGTCAGGGTTAGGATAGAAGGTAGGTCGCATGTCGGGGGGGTTTTGTCAGGGTAAGGAGAGAAGGTAGGTCGGATGTCTGGGGGTTGTGTCAGGGTTAGGAGAGAAGGTAGGTCGGATGTCTGGGGGGGTTGTGTCAGGGTAAGGAGAGAAGGTATGTTTGCTCTGTGGGGTTGTGTCAGGGTAAGGAGAGAAGGTAGGTTAGATGTCTGGGGTTGTGACAGAGTAGGAGAGAAGGTAGAGTGGATGTCGGGGGAGGGTTGTGTCAGGGTAAGGACAGAAGGTAGGTCGGATGTCTCGGGGGTTGTGTCAGGGTTAGGAGAAGAGGTATGTCTGCTCTGTGGGGTTGTATCAGGGTAAGGAGAGGTGGTATGTCTACTATCTGTAGGGTTGTGTCAGGGTAAGGAGAGGCGGTATGTCTACTATCTATGGGGTTGTGTCAGGGTAAGGAGAGGCGGTATGTCTACTATCTGTGGGGTTGTGTCAGGGTAAGGAGAGGCGGTATGTCTACTATCTGCGGGGTTGTGTCAGGGTAAGGAGAGGTGGTATGTCTACTATCTGTGGGGTTGTGTCAGGGTAAGGAGAGGCAGTATGTCTACTATCTGTGGGGTTGTGTCAGGGTAAGGAGAGGCAGTATGTCTACTATCTGCGGGGTTGTGTCAGGGTAAGGAGAGGCAGTATGTCTACTATCTGTGGGGTTGTGTCAGGGTAAGGAGAGGCAGTATGTCTACTATCTGCGGGGTTGTGTCAGGGTAAGGAGAGGCAGTATGTCTGCTATCTGCGGGGTTGTGTCAGGGTAAGGAGAGGCAGTATGTCTACTATCTGTGGGGTTGTGTCAGGGTAAGGAGAGGCAGTATGTCTACTATCTGCGGGGTTGTGTCAGGGTAAGGAGAGGCAGTATGTCTACTATCTGCGTGGTTGTGTCAGGGTAAGGAGAGGCAGTATGTCTACTATCTGCGGGGTTGTGTCAGGGTAAGGAGAGGCAGTATGTCTACTATCTGCGGGGTTGTGTCAGGGTAAGGAGAGGCAGTATGTCTACTATCTGCGGGGTTGTGTCAGGGTAAGGAGAGGCAGTATGTCTACTATCTGCGGGGTTGTGTCAGGGTAAGGAGAGGTGGTATGTCTACTATCTGTGGGGTTGTGTCTGTTGGTAGTCTGTTGGTGTTGTCAACACGTTGTCAGTGTTAAGAATCATGCAATTATCAAGTGATGGGCATGACTGATGTAGGTTCCTCCTGAGGAAACTGCTGCAATACCAGTCTGTCACTGAGGCACCCATGCCGCCGGTCAAACAGGAAGTGACAACACCATCAGTAAAGACAACCAAAAGTCCGGTCGTGTTGGCATCACCAGCATCCGAAACAATGATGCAGGAGACAGCCACACCCATCCCCAGCAAGTCCAAGTCAGCAAAGAAGAAGGCCCCGCCCACTTCCACAGACAAGAAAAAGAGTTCTGCCAGCAAGGAGCTTATTGGTGAGACTCCCAATATCTAAGTGTGCTGATCTCATTTAGTTACGATCACCTTAGCGCTAAGATCGCTTTGTACAACAGCACCCTGGTCTCCTTTAGGTTGGCTGTGTAGATGGTAGTCATGTCAAGGAGCTTATTGGTGAGACTCCCAATATCTAAGTGTGCTGATCTCATTTTGTTACGATCACCTTAGCGCTAAGATCGCTTTGTACAACAGCACCCTGATCTCCTTTAGGTTGGCTGTGTAGATGGTAGTCATGGCAAGGAGCTTATTGGTGAGACTCCCAATATCTAAGTGTGCTGATCTCATTTAGTTACGATCACCTCAGCGCTAAGATCACTTGGTACAACAGCACCCTGATCTCCTTTAGGTTGGCTGTGTAGATGGTAGTCATGGGAAGGAGCTTATTGGGTGTGCTGGGTGCCGTTGTACAAAACAACCTCAGCACTACGACTGTCATGTGTCTATGTTAAGTTACGATCACCTTAGCGCTAAGATTGCTTTGTACAACAGCACTCTGGTCTCCTTAAGGTTGGCTGTGTAGATGGTAGTCATGACAAGGAGCTTATTGGGTGTGCTGGGTGCCATTGTACAAAACTGCTTTAGCGCTATGACTATCCTATGTCTATTTTAAGGTATGGGAGTTACGATCACCTTAGCGCTAAGATCACTTTGTACAACAGCACCCTGACACTCAATTTTGGCTGTGTAGATGTTTAGTCTTTCCTGAATTCCTCTGTTTATTTTATCAAACTCTGCAGGAGAATAACATTTTTCTGCTTTTCAAGAGAAAGTGTGCATAATCCACACGGAATACACTATCTAAAACATAGTGCTTTAGTTGACTGTGTTTGGTCTTTTATTACAAGGTAGATACCAGTGGTCATATTCAACCCATCTTCCCAAGGCAAGGGAGTTAACTGACTGTAAAAGTCCAGTTTCCACCCTTGCCGAACTAGGCTGGTATTATGGAGTTACACTTTGGCTGGGCTAACAAGTCTATGCATAGTCCAATCAAAATCGTGCAACGAAATCGAAATCCAGTTTGTAAACTGTCGTGCTGATTTCGGTCGATTGCAGGATTTCCAAAAGCATGTGCACCACCGCCAGATATTTTCCATGTTTTTAATCAAGGTGCTTACGTGATTTGATGCACTTCGTCATGTAAGACCCGTTTTATCACAATATAGATCTTGATTATCGATCAGATCGTCTTGACTGGGCGCCGCCATTTTGTTTGAATCCAATGCAAGTGATACGAGAGATGGAATCTGATTGGTCCATAGGAGAGGTTTAGAAGGGACATAACTGGTAATAGCCACTGGTGGCGCTACGATCGAGCCAAGGAATTCCAGCCTAGTTCGGCAAGGGTGGAAACTGGACTTTTAAAGTCAGTTAACTCTCTTGCCTTGGGAAGATGTATTCAACTTGTCTGCAGCTCTTTTGGGACTCTGTTAACACTATGGTTAAGAAAATCAATGTTACATAAAAGGTATTGATGAAATAGATGTTTCCAGTGTGACTCCGATTCAGAATATCAACAGTATATATAGATGATGGGGCTGCCTTCTACCTAGGCAGTCATGGAGGTAGTAATGCCATGTCCATGGAAAGGTCGCTGCTCTGCAAACATTCTTGTGTTGGATCATGTGGATGTCAGATCATAGCAACTGATTCAATAAATTATTGAATTTGTTTAGAGTGAGTGAGTTGGTTTTAACAGTATTCCAGGTATATCACAGCGTGTCAGCTTGATGTGGGAGGAAAGCCCGAAGTGATGCAGGTCTGACGTTGACGACTATGGTGAATTTGTTTAGAACATGTTCAATTACAATGTATGTATTCTTATGTCATAGTTTCATTTCATTGTTTTGTAGTAAGGTTAAGTATTATGTTGACCCTTGTCTGATAAGAGGCAAAATGGATGAATAGAATTGATCCCTTTGATTTGCAGCTTAACAAGAGTCTGTATTGTGTATACCACCTTGATGTAGACAGCTGGCCTGTTCCTCACACTCACCAGATGTGTTTCAGATTCTATCCAGCCGAAGCCGAAGAAGAGTAAATCAGCTGGCGCCAATCGCCGTATCGCCATTCCCCTCATCCCACTTGACCCCACTGGCCGGCCGGTCTTCCCTCTCGTCCTGGGCGACCTCACTGTCCACAGTCTAGGGGAGGTAACTGCTCCACTCACTCTTCAACACTTCATTTCACTATTGTGTGTAGTTCATGTTCTATAACGCAGCTGGATCCAAGATTTTTAAAATTGAGGGGTGGATATTACCCTTACTCCACACATCCACATCCAAAACATCCACACGCCACACCTCCTCACCTTCACACCCCCAACCTCAACACCCCACACCTCAACACCCCACACCTCAACACCCCACACCTCAACACCCCACACCTCAACACCCCAAACCTCTACACCCCTTACCACCACACCTCTACACACCCACACCTCAACACCCCACACCTCAACACCCCACACCTCAACACCCCACACCTCAACACCCCAAACCTCTACACCCCTTACCACCACACCTCTACACACCCACACCTCAACACCCCACACCTCAACACCCCACACCTCAACACCCCAAACCTCTACACCCCTTACCACCACACCTCTACACACCCACACCTCAACACCCCACACCTCAATACCCCACACCTCTACACCCCACACCTCAACACCCCAAACCTCTCCACTTCACATCTCTTCACCCAACACCCCCACACCTCTACACCCCAAACCTCTACACCCCACACCCCAATACCCCACACCTCTACACCCCTTACCACCACACCTCTACACCCCTTACCACCACACCTCTACACCCCACACCTCAACACCCTAAACCTCTCAACCCCGCATCTCTACACCCAACACCCCCACACCTCTACACCCGAAACCTCTACACCCCACACCTCAACACCTCAAACCTCTCCACCCCACACCTCTACACCCCACACCTCCACACTTCCACAACTCTACACCCCAGACCTCCACCCCCAAACCTCTCCACCCTACACCTCTACACCCCACACCTCCACAACTCTACACCCCAGACCTCTACACCCCAAACCTCTACACCCCACACCTCCACACGTCCACAACTCTACACCCCAAACCTCCACACTTCCACAACTCTAGACCCCAGACCTCCACCCCCACACCTCAAGACCCCACACCTCAACACCCCCACACCTCAACACCTCTACAACCCACATCTCTACCCTCCTACACCCCACACACGTCCACATCTCCACACCCCAGCACCTCACACCTCTACACCCCACATCTCTACACAACCACACCCCTACACCCCCCACACATCCACATCTCCACACCCATGCACCTCGATCCCCTCACCTCCACCCCCACACCTCTACACTCCACACACCCCACACCCCTACACCTCTACACTCCACACACCCCCACAACTCCACCCCCACACCTCTACACCCCACACCTCAACACTCCACACACCCCACACCCGACACTTTCACCCCCACACCTCAAACTTCCACACCTCCACACACACACACCCCCACACACACCTCCATCCCCCCACACCTCAACACCCACCCAAGCCAGCACCACCCCCTACAAACACACACACACCCTCCATAGGTGAGGATCATTGCTCACAACACCAGTCACTTGATTCAGCTGTCCTCTCGCTGGAGTGTGGCATTAAACAAATAAACAAACAAATTAACACAAATACTACCTGGCTGACAACATTCACTCACTCCGTGCTGCCGATACTTTCAGCTGAACGCGGACCGGTCCTGCTTCCACTCAGTTGAATCCATCTTCCCCGTGGGCTTCTGCAGCACCCGCGTCTACGCCAACATGACCAACACCGACCTCCGCTGTCTCTACACCTGCAAGATATCGGACTCTGGCTCCAGTCCCGTGGTGAGTGACTGTCAGGGGGAGGTGGATTGTTTGACCCAGACCGTCTCAGGGGGTCATCTAGACCTGGGGCGGTCGGGTAGCCTAGTGGTTAAAGCGTTCGCTCGTCACGCCGAAGACCCTGGTTCCATTCCCGACATGGGTACATTGTGTGAAGCCCATTTCTGGTGTCCCCCGCCGTGATATTGTTGGAAAATTGCTAAAAGCGGCGTAAAACCATACTCACTCACTCACTCACTCATCTAGACCTGCCCAGAGGCTGATATTCGGCCCAATATGCAGCAATTGTCAGAGAGGAAGAGGCTTAGTTTTACATTGCTGTATCGAATACAATGTTTAATGATTGAATGCAATTGCATGCAATTTTAATTATCTATAAATTTTGCAAGGGAACTTACTTTGGAATAATAGATAAATTCCTGGTCAGCAATACTTACACTCAACAAACCCTTTCCACTTGTGTAGTAGTAGTAGTAGTAGTGGTGGTTGTAGTAGTAGTAGTAGTAGTAGTAACAAGTAATTTAAGTGTTCTCATCTCCATCAGTTTAGGAATAAAAAACACTCTCTCCTTCCCTCAAGAAAACCCACCTACCCACCCATGCACACACACACGCATGCATGCACACACACACACACAAACACACACACACACTCACTTGTGCAATGGTGGTCCTTGTCAAGTGAAAGACCTGTGATCGATTCCCCACATGGTTACAAATTGTGAAGCCCATTACTGCCATCATATTACTAGAATATAGTGAAAAATAAAAAGCTGTGTAAAACCCTACTCTCATTCATTAGTGATGTCCCCTCGTCCTGATAATACTGCAATATTGCTCAGAGTATCTTGAACCCCACTCTCTCACTCATTAGTGATGTCCCCTCGTCATGATAATGCTGCAATATTGCTCAGAGTATCTTGAACCTTTCTCTCTCTCATTTATGATATGTCCTCGTCATGATAATACTGCAATATTGCTCAGAATATCTTGAACCCTACTCTCCCACTCATTGGTGATGTCCCCTCGTCATGATAATGCTGCAATATTGCTCCAAATGTGTTGACCACCCTACTCTCTCACTCATAAGTGATGTCCCCTCGTCATGATAATGCTGCAATATTGCTCCAAATGTGTTGACCACCCTACTCTCTCACTCATAAGTGATGTCCCCTCGTCATGATAATGCTGCAATATTGCTCCAAATGTGTTGACCACCCTACTCTCCCACTCATTTGTGATGTCCCCTCGTCATGATAATGCTGCAATATTGCTCCAAATGTGTTGACCACCCTACTCTCTCACTCATAAGTGATGTCCCCTCGTCATGATAATGCTGCAATATTGCTCCAAATGTGTTGACCACCCTACTCTCTCACTCATAAGTGATGTCCCCTCGTCATGATAATGCTGCAATATTGCTCCAAATGTGTTGACCACCCTACTCTCCCACTCATTTGTGATGTCCCCTCGTCATGATAATGCTGCAATATTGCTCCAAATGTGTTGACCACCCTACTCTCTCACTCATAAGTGATGTCCCCTCGTCATGATAATGCTGCAATATTGCTCCAAATGTGTTGACCACCCTACTCTCTCACTCATAAGTGATGTCCCCTCGTCATGATAATGCTGCAATATTGCTCCAAATGTGTTGACCACCCTACTCTCTCACTCATAAGTGATGTCCCCTCGTCATGATAATCCTGCAATATTGCTCCAAATGTGTTGACCACCCTACTCTCTCACTCATTGGTGATGTCCCCTCGTCATGATAATGCTGCAATATTGCTCCAAATGTGTTGACCACCCTACTCTCTCACTCATTTGTGATGTCCCCTCGTCATGATAATCCTGCAATATTGCTCCAAATGTGTTGACCACCCTACTCTCTCACTCATTGGTGATGTCCCCTCGTCATGATAATGCTGCAATATTGCTCCAAATGTGATGACCACCCTACTCTCTCACTCATTTGTGATGTCCCCTCGTCATGATAATCCTGCAATATTGCCCCAAATGTGATGACCGCCCTACTCTCTCACTCATTTGTGATGTCCCCTCGTCACGATAATGCTGCAATATTGCTCCAAATGTGTTGACCACCCTACTCTCTCACTCATAAGTGATGTCCCCTCGTCATGATAATCCTGCAATATTGCTCCAAATGTGATGACCACCCTACTCTCTCACTCATTTGTGATGTCCCCTCGTCATGATAATCCTGCAATATTGCTCCAAATGTGTTGACCACCCTACTCTCTCACTCATTTGTGATGTCCCCTCGTCACGATAATGCTGCAATATTGCTCCAAATGTGATGACCACCCTACTCTCTCACTCATAAGTGATGTCCCCTCGTCATGATAATGCTGCAATATTGCTCCAAATGTGTTGACCACCCTACTCTCTCACTCATAAGTGATGTCCCCTCGTCATGATAATCCTGCAATATTGCTCCAAATGTGTTGACCACCCTACTCTCTCACTCATAAGTGATGTCCCCTCGTCATGATAATCCTGCAATATTGCTCCAAATGTGTTGACCACCCTACTCTCTCACTCATTTGTGATGTCCCCTCGTCACGATAATGCTGCAATATTGCTCCAAATGTGATGACCACCCTACTCTCTCACTCATAAGTGATGTCCCCTCGTCATGATAATGCTGCAATATTGCTCCAAATGTGTTGACCACCCTACTCTCTCACTCATAAGTGATGTCCCCTCGTCATGATAATCCTGCAATATTGCTCCAAATGTGTTGACCACCCTACTCTCTCACTCATAAGTGATGTCCCCTCGTCATGATAATCCTGCAATATTGCTCCAAATGTGTTGACCACCCTACTCTCTCACTCATAAGTGATGTCCCCTCGTCCTGATAATGCTGCAATATTGCTCCAAATGTGTTGACCGCCCTACTGACTTGGTGCTTGCTGTCTTCAGTTTGAGATTGCGCCTGATGACAGCCCGGACAAGGTGTGGAAGGCCAAGTCCCCGGCGGAGTGTCACACCATGCTGCAGCGAGCCATCACCAAGGCCAAGTGAGTAGAACACACGGCTCATCTTTTAACAGAAATACAGCGTTACAAATTGGCACTAGTCCTGTAGTCCTTACCAAACTGCACAATTCTAAAGGTATCCTAAGGACCAGTAGAAATTGGCCCATTTTAAGGGTTTTGCTATATGTTATCATTATTAGGTCTAGTGGACAAAAATGAAAAGGAGGAATAATATGTCATAATGTTCACACAAGACGTTAAGTTTGGCCACACTTTTTCCATTTTGGGGGGTTTACTGATTTTTTTGTCAGTCAGTCAAAAAGTCCAGTTTCAAATATAGTTTTTTGATTCCCTCAAAATATTATGAAGGTAGGAAAAAAAGGATTTTAGAAAGTAAAGTAAGAGTTGGAGTTTTGAAGGTGAATTTTCAGTAATTTATTTAGATTCCTCACCGTAATGATGTTTTTTGTAACATTGTACATATTTCAGGTCGGCAGAATAGGAAAAACACTGCTTTTTCTACACATTTAAATTTTTGGGAGGATGCAGTTTCAGAAACAGTTCATTAGTTATTTTGATTCTATGTTTTTATTTCTGAGATGCTTTGTCCTTATATCAAGATTGCTGTTGATATTGCACACAATGTATTAGATCATTTCATCATTTCATCATTTGACTGTTGTATTTGATAATTTTATTGTTTGATCAATGTTTGTGATCATTGTATTTGATCATTTGATCATTGTATTTGATCATTTCATCTTTGCATTTGATCATTGCATTTGATCATTTGATCATTGTATGTGATCATTTCATCATTTGATCAATGTATTTGTTTCAAAAAGTGGGTAGTTTCATTATATTTTGTGATATTTGTGATTCAAAATAAAATAAACGTGAACTATTGTTTTAATGTTATTATCCGTTTGCGAGTTTAAATTTGACCCTTGTCACTATACTCAGTAAACCCAAAAGAGATAGTGTTGCCTAACCTTGCCTTTTTGTGATACAGGAGTGTGGACTTGACGCCGACCCCCACCAGCGGGGTGGATTTCTTCGGGTTGACCCACCCCATTGTCCAGAACCTCATACAGTCCCTCCCCGGGGCCCGGAAGTGTGCCGGCTACAAGTGGCACAAGTTCGAGGTGAACAAAGGGGAGGTGATCGACAACATCGTGCACTGCAAGACGGATCCCATGGTCAACTACGATGCACTCCGGAAACTGGTGGGAGCTGCTGGTAGGTTGTGACGTTGTCAGCCCATCTCCCCGGGACAACGGAGTTAACTGACTATATATGTCCAGTGCCACCCTTGCGGAACTAGGCTGGAATTTTGTGGCTCGATCGTAGCACCACCAGTGGCTATTACAAGTTATGTCCCTTCTGCAAGCTCCTTCCCAGCGCGTGACACCTTCGTTACACTCTCGGTAACATCGCTGCCACCAGTGTGGGCCCGGCCATTACAAGAATCAGTGGCTATTACGAGTTATGTCCCTTCTGCAAGCTCCTTCCCAGCGCGTGACACCTTCGTTACACTCTCGGTAACATTGCTGCCACCAGTGTGGGCGCGGTCCATTACAAGAATCAGTGGCTATTACGAGTTATGTCCCTTCTGCAAGCTCCTTCCCAGCGCGTGACACCTTCGTTACACTCTCGGTAACATCGCTGCCACCAGTGTGGGCGTGGTCCATTACAAGAATCAGTGGCTATTACGAGTTATGTCCCTACTGCAAGCTCCTTCCCAGCGCGTGACACCTTTGTTACACTCTCGGTAACATCGCTGCCACCAGTGTGGGTGTGGCCATTACAAGAATCTTGAGATTTGCCCTCTAACCCCAAATGTAGTAACGTTTATACTTTTGTTTGGGAATGCCATCATATTTCATTTTGAAAAGGTTTCTGCTGACCTATTAGATATTACCTCTCATATTACTTGTATTTGCTTCAAGCTAACTTGAGACAAACAGTGAAGATGGTCTGATCAATAATCAAGATCTATATTGTAATATCTTACCTTGTGAAGTGCATCTCCCCAGGCAAGAGAGTTAACTGACTTAAAAAGTCCAGTTTCCACCCTTGCCGAACTAGGCTGGCATTACTGGGCTCGATCGTTGCGCCACCAGTGGCTATCACCAGTTATGTCCCTTCTAAGCCTAACTCCATGATACCAGCCTAGTTTGGCAAGCGTGGAAAATGGACTTTAAAAGTCATTTAACTCTCTTGCCTCGGGAAGATGCGTGAAGTGCATCGAGTCACTTGAGCAAGCTGATTAAAAACATGAAAAGATTAGGAAAATATCTGTTGATGCCCATTTGACGATACAAATGCATTGCAAATCCTGCAATCGACCAAAATAGGGCGGTCAGGTGGCCTAGTGGTTAAAGCGTTCGCTCGTCACGCCAAAGACCCATCTTAGTGCTAAGACAATCATAACTCCCATACTTTAACACAGACTTATGACAATGTTTGTGCCAAGACAGTCGTAGTTCCTATACTTTAACATAGACTTACAACAATCTTCGAGCAAAGACAATCGAAGCTCCCATACTTTAACATAGACTTACAACAATCTTCGAGCAAAGACAATCGTAGCTCCCATGCTTTAACACAGACATAAAACAATCTTCAAGCAAAGGCAATCGTAGCTCCCATACTTTTACATAAACTTACAACAATCTTCGAGCAAAGACAGTCGTAGCTCCCATACTTTTACATAGACTTACAACAATCTTCGAGCAAAGACAGTCGTAGCTCCCATACTTTAACATAGACTTACAACAATCTTCGAGCAAAGACAATCGTAGCTCCCATGCTTTAACACAGACATAAAACAATCTTCAAGCAAAGGCAATCGTAGCTCCCATACTTTTACATAAACTTACAACAATCTTCGAGCAAAGACAGTCGTAGCTCCCATACTTTTACATAGACTTACAACAATCTTCGAGCAAAGACAGTCGTAGCTCCCATACTTTTACATAGACTTACAACAATCTTCGAGCAAAGACAGTCGTAGCTCCCATACTTTTACATAGACTTACAACAATCTTCAAGCAAAGACAGTCGTAGCTCCCATACTTTTACATAGACTTACAACAATCTTCAAGCAAAGACAGTCGTAGCTCCCATACTTTTACATAGACTTACAACAATCTTCGAGCAAAGACAGTCGTAGCTCCCATACTTTTACATAGACTTACAACAATCTTCGAGCAAAGACAGTCGTAGCTCCCATACTTTTACATAGACTTGCAACAATCTTCGAGCAAAGACAGTCGTAGCTCCCATACTTTTACATAGACTTGCAACAATCTTCGAGCAAAGACAGTCGTAGCTCCCATACTTTTACATAGACTTACAACAATCTTCGAGCAAAGACAGTCGTAGCTCCCATACTTTTACATAGACTTGCAACAATCTTCGAGCAAAGACAGTCGTAGCTCCCATACTTTTACATAGACTTACAACAATCTTCGAGCAAAGACAGTCGTAGCTCCCATACTTTTACATAGACTTACAACAATCTTCGAGCAAAGACAGTTGTAGCTCCCATACTTTTAAGTGATTTGTGGAGGGAGGCCCTGGTCCCATGTAACCCATGCTTGATGTAAATGATCCATTCAGTCTGATGTGGTGTTTGGTCACTGACGGTGAAAGAGTTGTTTGTACGTAGGTGAATGTGGAAAGGACACCTTCCACCTTTTTGGTAAGGGATGTGCACTAGCTCTTTCCTCAGTGACGTTTTCTATAAAAAAAATCAGACACCATTTATAGCCTCTAAAATAATTCGGGGTGGGGCAGGGGGTGTGAGGGTGTGACAGGAGCTTGCCCCACACACAACAGCTAGAAATAAAAGAATAAATTGAAGAAGTTCATAGACTTAGTTAGCTTTCTTTGTTTGTTTGGGAATTACCGATATATTGTAAATGTCCGAATGTCAACAACCCTGAAATAGCTTTAATTTGAATACATTTACAATATATTATTTGTGAAAGAAACCACTTGTTTCCCTGTAAATGTTAATCATATCAGCTATAATCTATCATGAACACGATAAATCTATTGTTTCAGGAACAAAGGCACAGGCCATCTCAGCCTCTGCTCATCTCGAACCTTCAACCAGCCTGAGATCCCTGTTGACCAGTGGGCCCTTCACTACAGCCATGTATGCTCAGAAGTGACCTCAGACCAGCCTCTTAACCAGCCTGAGATCCCTGTTGACCAGTGGGCCCTTCACTACAGCCATGTATGCTCAGAAGTGACCTCAGACCAGCCTCTTAACCAGCCTGAGATCCCTGTTGACCAGTGGGCCCTTCACTACAGCCATGTATGCTCAGAAGTGACCTCTGACCAGCCTCTTCAACCAGCCTGAGATCCCTGTTGACCAGTGGGCCCTTCACTACAGCCATGTATGCTCAGAAGTGACCTCAGAGCAGCCTCTTCAACCAGCCTGAGATCCCTGTTGACCAGTGGGCCCTTCACTACAGCCATGTATGCTCAGAAGTGACCTCAGACCAGCCTCTTCAACCAGCCTGAGATCCCTGTTGACCAGTGGGCCCTTCACTACAGCCATGTATGCTCAGAAGTGACCTCAGACCAGCCTCTTCAACCAGCCTGAGATCCCTGTTGACCATTGGCCCTTCACTACAGCCATGTATGCTCAGAAGTGACCTCAGACCAGCCTCTTCAACCAGCCTGAGATCCCTGTTGACCAGTGGGCCCTTCACTACAGCCATGTATGTTCAGAAGTGACCTCAGACCAGCCTCTTCAACCAGCCTGAGATCCCTGTTGACCAGTGGGCCCTTCACTACAGCCATGTATGCTCAGAAGTGACCTCAGACCAGCCTCTTCAACCAGCCTGAGATCCCTGTTGACCAGTGGGCCCTTCACTACAGCCATGTATGCTCAGAAGTGACCTCAGACCAGCCTCTTCAACCAGCCTTCTCTACGGCCATGTGTGCTCAGAAGTGACCTTGTATCAAGGGGAGATAACATATGGACAGCCTGATGTGGAAGGCTCACATCTCACCAACAGATTTCTGTGATAGAGATATTGATACAATGCGAAGTTGTTGGCATCAGAAGGGAGTTTGAGACATCACAGTCACTGTCATCACTTATGCCATAACAAAAAGCGCAATAACAGGATCAGGTGGCTGATGCATGTCATCGTATTCCAAAATTGTGTGGATCGATGCTCATGATGTCAATCACTGGATTGTCTGGTCTAGACTCGATTATTTACAGACCGCAAACAAACAATAAAAACAAAACAAAACAGAAATCATCACTACATCACAATCATCATAATAACAACACAGGATCTGTCCACATCTGTCAATGAAATAACAGTTTGTAAAGAAAGTTCATTGAATATTTTGGCTCTCACATTTGTCATGTTATTGTCTCTTATCATACCTATGATAGATGTCCTATTCATTTACTTGTTCAGGTTGTTGTACATTAAGGAAATGTTTGACGTGAGAAAGTCATATTTGTGTTGATTGTCTCTGTTGTGCTGGAACAAAAGTGAGAAAACAATAAAATTTGGTTACATTGCAATACATTGCCAGTGTTTATTTTCTTGAATGATGACTTCGTAACTCACGATAGAATCATGTGTTCCATGATGCCTGAGAATAGATGGGATTGCACTGGCCTGATGCCTATAGAGAATAGGTGAGGTTGCCCTGAATATTGCGAAAGAGCTGAGGCTGCCCTGAAGCTTACGACAGAGCTGAGGCTGCCCTGAAGCTTGCAAAAGAGCTGAGGCTGCCCTGAAGCTTGTGAAAGAGCCGAGGCTGCCCTGAGGCTTGCGAAAGAGCCCAGGCTGCCCTGAAGCTTGCGAAAGAGCTGAGGCTGCCCTGAAGCTTGCGAAAGAGCTGAGGCTGCCCTGAAGCTTATTAAAGAGCTGAGGCTGCCCTGAAGCTTGTGAAAGAGCTGAGGCTGCCCTGAAGCTTACGAAAGAGCTGAGGCTGCCCTGAAGCTTGCGAAAGAGCTGAGGATGCCCTGAAGCTTGTGAAAGAGCTGAGGCTGCCCTGAAGCTTGCGAAAGAGCTGAGGCTGCCCTGAAGCTTGCGAAAGAGCTGAGGCTGCCCTGAAGCTTGCGAAAGAGCTGAAGCTGCCCTGAAGCTTGTGACATCTTTTTTTCCTGATTTTTTTTTTCCAATTAGGTTTTAGATAATAATGATAGGATTCATGTAATTAATGTTCATTTGAGAGTCTGAAAAACAAAATTTGTTACATTTTTATTATATTTAGATATAGTTTAGGTAATATTTTTTATTCTGGTCCAGCTGAGGGACAACCATGATTTAAGTAAATCCAGAAAAATATTTGCTTTTAAACAAACAAATATTAACTTGAAAGTACATTTTTTAGCATTTTACATTTGAAGAAAGGTAAGCTACCTATAAATAGTCTTGAAAAGGAAATCAAATATCTTAAAACACATTTCTGCAAACAAACAACTGATGTACAGGTCAAGTGGGAAATTGTTACGGTGTTGAGATTTTCACCCTACTACATCTACGACAGTGAGTTGCATGACAATACATATTTACACATCAAAGTGACAGTATCGCGAGCTCCCAGTAGGGCTTCGATGACAGCACGTGGAGCCGTACAACCAATATAAACCAGAGACCATATAATATAATCTATTATATGGTCTCTGTCTAAACATAGGATAACTACGCAAATGGAAATAATTTTACACGATTTAGGATTTCTTTCAATGACGTTTATTCTATGACATATGTTTATCAAGATATGTAGACTTGTCAAAAATGAAACACATGAAAAACATATGCAATATTTTGAATGGACTATGTAAGATGTGACGAATCGTCACATGGCGCTGGCCTGTGGCAGAGGTACTGCGCTGGTCGCATGGAACTCTGGATAGGAGAGCGTCCACCTACGTCTGTGTTGAACGTAATGGTTTTAGAGTGTAAATAGATATATTCCCGTGTTATGGGTTTTCGGATGCTTAAGAAACATTCGCTAATCACAAGAACCGTAAAACATCTCATTCACTTATCAAAGACAGCTTTATCTAAAAATCAAACCATCATTTGAGTATTTACAATTTCTGTTGACACCACAACCCTCGTTATAGCTGGAGTTTTTCGTGATAAACATTGCCGTCTGAAAACGTTTGATGTCCGAAAACATGATCCGACGATATAAATGCCTCTCCTCTTCAACTCACACTTCGAAGTGGACTAAAATTCGAAATACATCACGTACACTAAACGTTTTGATTTCTGTTGCAAATTCCCTCTTCTGTGATAACAACCACTGTCATTTTATGCCAAGCAGAATTACTGTGTGTTTAGAAATCTAAACATCGGATATTTAGTCGAGGGATTGAATTTCAAAAATAGCATATTAGTGATCACGGGGATCTGTTTTTCACCAAAACCCCTATGGTAATTTTTAAACGTCGCCGAGGAACCTTGAATCGTTTGGAATGTTTTGGAAAATACGCAAACACGAACGCCGAAGTGCACTTTCCGCCATTGTGGATAGTGTTTACAATTTCACGTTTGACGTATGCGGGTTATTAAACGCCTATTAGATCACGTACGTTTCAAACTCAGCTGCTATACATGCATCCCTGAATTCCTCATACACTTTAGAAGCAAATGACAAATGGTCTTTGTCACCAATACAAATCGAGATGACATCAAGAGAAACAAGAGCCCCCCCCCCCCCCCCCCCCCCCCCCCCTGGATATTAACGCAATCATGACTTAATATACACTTGCATTGTACATATATAATACTGCAAATATTTCGTAATTTTGACTCTGTCAGCATTTAAAATCAAAATCAGCAAATCTGACAGCATGAACGTGTAGTTCTCTAGATACAAATGTAGCATAGAGATCTGAACCGTTTCCATGTTATGATCCAGGATAAATCATATTAAAGGTATTACTCTCTTCATAACAAACACATGTATACAATGTATCTGTTTATAATAGGGTTGGGATAATATTGGTTTGCATGCTATGGTCAAGGTTCTAACTCCTTTGGGAGTGTCGGACAGATGAACAGAAGGCCAGTCCTGGTAGCATATGTGCATTCCTCTCATTATACTCTCAATTGGACATAAGGTATACGGTGGGGATCTTAACTGTGTCGAAGTTATAAACTCTTTTTAGCCCCGCCCCTTAGTCCCCGGGGGTGGGGGTAGGGTTCCGCCCCTCCATTTCTCCAATTTGAATCCCCATCATTGGAGAATGCTTCCAACCAAATATGGTTGAGAACTATCTCCTAGTTCCAGAGAGGAAGTCGTTTAAAGCAATATAGACAAATTACCCCTATTTGGAATTGGCCCCGCCCCTCAGCCCCTTGGGGGATGTTCAGCCCTTCCATTTGTACAATTTTGAATTCTCATCTCCGGAAAATGCTTCCAACCAAATATGGTTGATATCTATCTCTTAGTTCCAGAGAAGAAGTCGTTTAAAACAATAACGCTAAATTACTCCTATTTGGCCCCGCCCCTCAGCCCCTTGGGGGTCAGCCCCACCATTTGTACATTTTTGAATCCCCACCACCTAGGGATGCTTCCAGTCAAATTTCGTAATTTCCAATCAGTGGTTCAGAAGAAGAAGTCGTTTGAATAAATTGTTGACGTACGGACGACGGACGGACAGACAGACGGACGGACGTATCGGGCATAAGTTCACCTTGGTCCTTTGGACCCGGCGAGTTAATAAATTAGTTATGGAAACGAACACTGTGCTCGGAAAACTGTACTTTTTGAAACGTAAACAAAGCAAAATTAAGATTTTACACTCTCCTATTTTGAGAGATCAGAGACCATACAATCTATTATATGGTCTCTGTTGAGATCAATTCGTCTAATTGTTGCATACATTGGCTGAATGTTCGTGAGAAGAGTATCGTAGCACGAATTATGGAATTAAAATATTATACATTACAATGATCAGGGAATTACAACAGAAATCGTAAAGGTTTCCGTCCGTCCTGTGTGACGCCATGACTGACACAAAGTTATGCACAACGACGACGGTAGTTATCTGCATTTCTGACAAATTCTCTTTGTTGCACTGGAAAACATAATAACAGTATGTGTCACCGGGCCCCGACTCGACATCTACACAATTAGGCCTACCAGTGACAACGTTGTAAGAATAACACTTTGATGTGTGTATACCTAAATTACCTATATGCTCATTATTACATTTCAGAAGCGGAAACGTAATATTCTAAGAGATTTTTGTCACGCCTGGTGACCCGCATGCACAGTAAATTGATGATAGCGTGTATAGCATAATATATCCGTATAGAAAATAATCACACTCCTGCCAATCAGAAACGGTTGCTGAGTTCATGCCCGTGCAGCGCCGTAATTTCCGGCCAATTTTTTCTTGTTTACCTCAGCGACGTGAAGCGTAGAGCTGACTAAGGCTGGGACGGGTACTCGGGTCGGGTGGGTACTAAGTAGGACCCGGGTACCCACAGGACTACCCGGACCCGTGGTTAGTCACGTGATAAAAAGTATCTAAACCTCTATGTTTAAACTACATATGTCACTAATGTTCGCGGGGGCACGGGTGGCCAAGTCGTCTAAGGCGTCGTGATTCCCTGTGCAGAGTTGCGTCCCTTGGTCATGCCAGAAACCTATGGTTGTGGGTTCGAATCCCGGTTCGCCCCGATTATGCTTCTAGGTTTGTCAGCACCATACCCGTGCTTGTGGGTTTCACCGAAGTGGTAAAAGTCTGAGACCTGCATCACTTCGGGCTTTCCTCTTACATTAAGCTGACACGCCGCGATATGACTGGAATACTGTTAAAAGCGGCGTTAAACCCAACTCACTCAGTCACTAATGTTCGCAGTTCTTCATGACTACCACGCCCATTCCTTCTGACTTTTGTATGTTTGAATAAAAACAAAACTTCAGTGTATACACCAGATCGTTTCATACATGTATCTAAACACATTGTACCAGAGCTGCGGTCAAACGTCTTCCAATCGGACAGTTTGTACCTACCTGTTGAGACCTACAGCGGGTACCCGGGTAGGGTCGGGCAATAGAGGGGTGGGTACCCGGGAAGTAAATTTGGACTCGTCCCAGCCATAGAGCTGACATTTGATGTTTGTTTTAAAATATATACGAGGTAAGGTGACTACAGATGAACACGATTGTGTAGCCTATGGTTTGTGTAGCATTAGTACCATTAGGTTGAAATAAGTGTCATTCATAGTTCATGCGATATCGAGCTGTGATTCGAACCGAGTGCGAAATCTTGAATACGAGGTGAGGTGAGGTGAAATGGGGTTTAACGTCGCGTCCAAGATTACTGCACTTATATAGCCACGTGCATGTACGTGTGTGTGTTTGTGTGGCTGCTTTTACTAGTCCGGACTGATGCCGATTTATAGTGCTACCGAGATACCATGCCGCAGTTTAACATGAATACCCTACTGAGACACAGTATACTGACTCCGAGCCGACCAGTCCTTGTTTTAGCCCCTTAATGCCGAGCGCAGGGTAACAACAAGTACCATCTTTTAACGTCTTTTGGTATGAC